GAATCTGTAATTAGAAAAAAAAAAAAACTCCCTCCACATTGTAAATTAACTCTATTTAAAAAACAAAACGAAACAAAACTCCCTCCAAAGAAAAGTCCAGGTCAGCATGACTTCACTCGGGAATTTACCAAACTTACAAAGAAGAATTTATACCTATCCTGCTCAAACTATTCCAAAAAATTAAGAGGAGGGAACACTCCCAAAGTCATTCTGTGAAGCTACCATCACCCTGATAGCAAAACCAGACAAAGCCACTACCAAAAAAGAAAATTACAGGCCAATATCTTTGATGAATATAGATACAAAAATCCTCAACAAAATATTAGCAAACCAAATCCAACAATACATAAAAAGGATCGTACACCACGATCAAGTTGGATTCATTCCAGGGTAGCAAGGATGGTTCAACATACACAAATCAACCAATGTGATACACCACATTAACAGAAGGAAAGACAAAAACCAAATGACCATCTCAATACACACAGAAAAAGCATTTGACCAAATTCAACATCCATTCATGATAAAAACTCTCACCAAAGTGGGTATAGAGGGAACATAACTGAACATAATAAACCACAAACCCACAGCCAACATAAAAGTCAATGGTGTAAAGCTGAAAGCCTTCTAGCTAAATTCAGGAACAAGAAAAGGATGTCCACTCTCACCACCTCTATTCAACATAGTATTGGAAGCCCTAGCCATAGCAATGAGACAAGGAAAAGAAATAAAAAAGTATCGAAATTGGAAGGGAAGAAGTAAAACTGTCACTATTTGCAGACGGCATGCGACTCTATATAGAAGACACTAAAGTATCCATACAAAAACTATTAGAACTAATAAATGAATTCAGCAAGGTAGCAGGATACAAGATTAATATACAGAAATTTGTTGCATTTTTTATACTAACAATTAAATATCAGAAAGTTTAAAAAAAAATCCCATTTAAAATTGCATCAATAAAAAAATATCTAGGAATAAACCTAACCAAGAAGTAAAAGACCTGTATGCTGGAAACTATAAAACATTGATAAAGGAAACTGAAGATGATTCAAAGAAATGGAAAGATATCCCATGCTCTTGGAGTCGAACAATCAGTATTGTTAAAATGGCCATACTACCCAAAGCAATCTACAGATTTAATATAATCCCTATCAAAATACCCATAACATTTTCCACACAACTAGAACAAATAATCCTAAAATTTATATGGAAGCACAAAAGACCCAGAATTGTCAAAGCAATCCTGAGGAAAAAGAACAAAACTGGAGACATAACCCTTCCAGATCTCAAACTATTCTACAAAGCTATAGTAATCAAAACAGCATGGTATTGGCACAAAAACAGACATATAGATCAACAGAACAGAGAGCCCAGCAATAAACCCATGTACCTATGGTCAATTAATCTATAACAAAGGAGGCAAGAATATACAACGGAGGAAAGACAGTCTCTTCAACAAGTGGTACTGGGAAAGCTGGACAGCTAGCTACATGTAAATTAATGCAATTAGAACACTCCCTCAAACCATTTACAAAAATAAACTCAAAATGATTTAAAGACCTAAATATAGGACATGAAACCATAAAATTCCTAGAAGAGAACATAGGAAAAACATCCTCTGACATAAATTGTAGCAATATTTTCTTAGATCAGTCTCCCAAGGCAAAAGAAATAAAAGCAAAAATAAACAAATGGCACTAATCCAACTTAAAAGATTTTGCACAGTAAAGCAAACCATCAACAAACTGAAAAAACCTACAGAATGGGAGAAAATATTTGCAAACAATGTGACCAACAAAGGGTTAATAACCAAAATATACAAACAGCTCACACAACTCAATATCAAAAACACACAGGGACTTCCCTGGTGGTGCAGTGGTTAAGAATCCACCTGCCAATGCAGGGGACACGGGTTTGATCCCTGGTCCAGGGAAGATCCCACATGCCGCGGAGCAACTAAGCCCGTGTGCCACAACTACTGAGCCTGCACTCTAGAGCCCAAGAGCCACAACTACAAAGCCCATGTGCCACAGCCACTGAAGCCCACATGCCCTAAAGCCTGCGTGCCACAACTACTGAGCCCACGTGCTGCAACTACTGAAGTCCGCACACTCTAGGGCCCATGTGCCACAACCTCTGAGCCCATATTCTGCAACTACTGAAGCCCGCATGCAAAGAGCCCATGTTCCGCAACAAGAGAAGCCAACGCAACGAGAAGCCTGTGCACCGCAACAAAGAGTAGCCCCTGCTCGCTGCAAAGAGAGAAAGCCCGCACGCAGCAACAAAGACCCAACGTGGCAATAAATAAATAGATAGATAGATAGATACCCAATCAAAAAATGGGCAGAAGACCTAAATAGACATTTTCCAAAGAAGACATACAGATGGCCAAGAAGCATATGAGAAATTGCTCAACATGACTAATTATTAAAGAAATGCAAATCAAAACCACCATGAGGTATCACCACACAGTGGTCAAAATGGCTATCATGAAAAAGTCTATAAATAATAAATTCCTAAGAGGGTGTGGAAAAGAGGGAACCCTCCTACACTGTTGGTGGGAATGTATAAATTGGTGCAGCCACTATGGAAAACAGTATGGAGGTTCCTTAAAAAAAACTAGAGCTAACATATGATCCACTAATCCCACTCCTGGGTATATATCTGTAAAAAAATGAAAACTCTAATTTGAAAAGATACCTGTACCCCAATGTTCATAGCAGCAGTATTTACAATAGCCAAAATATGGAAGCAACCCAGTGCCCATTAGCAGATGATTGGCTTAAGAAGATGTGGTATATATATATATATATATATATATATATACACACACACACACACACACATATATATATATATACACACACACACACACAATGGACTATTACTCATCCATAGAAAAAGAATGAAATATTGCCATTTGCAGCAACATGTATGAACCTAGAGAATATTATACTTGGCAAAGTAAGTCAGACAAAGACAAATATTACACAATATCACTTATGTGGGGAATCTGAAAAATAATACAAATGAATCTACATACAAAACAGACTCACAGACATAGAGAATAAACTTATGGTTACCAAAGGGGAAAGGGAGGTGGGAGGGATAAATTAGGAGTATGGGATTAACAGATACAAACTACTACACATAAAATAGAAAAGCAACAAGGATTTACTGTAAATTAAATATAATAACCCACAATGGAAAATAATCTGAACTATATATATAAATAACTGAATTACTTTGCTGTATACCTGAAACTAACACAGTATTGTAAATCAACCATACTTCAAAAAAATTTATTAAAAAATAAAGAAGTTGGCAACTTATTGATTGGCAGTTGATTCGAACACCAATCCTTTCAGCTCCCAGGCCTAATGTTATCAAAAGCCCATGAATTTAATGGGGGAAATTTTTCCATGGAAATCATGAAAGAGCCCCTCAGCCAATTTACCCATATTGTAAAAATAATTCTAAGAAGCACAGGAAGTTGTCACAACCAAGTAATGGTGACGATGAGGAAGTGTTTCAAACCCCAAAATATGATGATTACTTTTTGGGAAAACTATAATAAATTGCAGATTCTGGGGGGAAAGAAAGGAGGAAAGAGCTCTTGATAAACCCAGGAAGTATTATAAAATATTTTTGGAAGCTGGGAAAAATATATCATATTTAAAAGACTTTAATTAGCAGGGCATTAGTGTAGCTACTAATCCATCAACAAATGTAGATTCAGGGAAGTGACAAAGTATTGTGGGCACTTCGAGTGAGGCACCTGAGAGATACAAAGGATTAAAGTCAAGTTAAATGCAAAATGGTATATAAATGAGGTAAGATTTATAAAAGAATGGTGTTAACTGTAAAGTACTATACAAAGGTAAGCAATCATTACACATTCCCAACACCAAGAAATGGCTACCCTAAAGATTCTCATCCAAAGGAGACCCTGGGATTCCCAGAGGAGATACCACGTGGTTAAAAGTAGGGTGACAGGGCAAAACTGGAAAAAATCATGCTTTACTGATTATAATTATTGTAGTAGTAAATTCAATTCAATAATTCAAATAATTCATAATAAATTACATAGCACCTAACATATGTACCAGCACTGGAAAAAGTGCTGAGAAGGCTACAAAAATGTATAGAACAAGAACTTAAAGAACTCAGGGAACTTATGGTCCAGTAGAAGAGACAGAACATAAATGAACAATCAGGTCATTAAAATAAACTGGGGCTTTTACTGGCCCAAAGGCCCTAGTGGACCTAGTTTATAAGCAACACTTTGATGGATAAGAATAAGCTTAAATAAAAAGAGAAACCTGGGGCTTCCCTGGTGGCGCAGTGGTTGGGGGTCCGCCTGCCGATGCAGGGGACACGGGTTCGTGCCCCGGTCCGGGGGTATCCCGCATGCCGCGGAGCGGCTGGGCCCGTGAGCCGTGGCCGCTGAGCCTGCGCGTCCAGAGCCTGTGCTCCGCAACGGGAGAGGCCACAACAGTGGGAGGCCCGCGTACCGCAAAAACAAAAGAGAAACCTGAAAACAAAGATGAGATAAACTGGCCCTTCTTTACCTAGAATGCCAAATTTGGAGTTGCCCAGGGAATGGGAGCAGGAAGGTCATTCTCTTTGGGCATTTTACGCAGTTTGCATGCGGGAGTGTTGAGTGAATCTCCAAGTCAGAACGCCAGGAACAGGATTCAGGACGATTGCTTAAGGCTGTGCAAATTATCAGAACAAGAGGGTGGAGAAGAGTCAGGTGTTCCCGCTCAGTGCTCTGAGATGCAGAGCGCACCTGTGGTCTCCGAGACACCCCCGCGAAAGCGCCACCACCTCGGGGGCTTGGAGCTGCCCCCACCCAACAGAAGAGGACCGCGGGCAAAGGATCCGTCCTGAGGCTCGTCTTTTGTCCGCCGCGCCCCCGGCCAGGTCCCACCGTCTCAAAGCCCACCTGGCCCAGGAGTCGGCAACTCAGGAGGGAGGTCTGGAGCCGCCCTTACCGTATAGGAAATCATATGTTCGATTGGCAGAGACTTTGCCCCAGGGCCCCGACCTCCCTCTGCACCGGGTTTGAGACACCGGCGGCTTGGCCTGGGGCTCTTCGATGGTCACTACGTGACTCATGGTGCCGGCTCTTCCCTGCGGCCAGCCAGGACCGACTAGGGAGACCGAGATGCGGTGTGCAAGGTAGCTATGGTAACCCCCGCGAGGAGCGAGGGCTGAGCGAGGACACACAGCTAATCCAGGAGAGAGGGGCGGGACTCGCGTGTGAGAGGAGGAGCCGAGTGACGACAAGGAGGGGGCGGGGCGAGGAGCAGGAGAGGCGGGGCTGAGCGAAGATACGGGGCGGGGCTCGTGAAGGGAGGGGCGGGGCTGGCTGGGGGAGGAGGAGCCGAGTGATGACAAGGGAAGGGTGGGGCGAGGCGCAGGAGCGGAAGGTCCGGAAAGTGCGCAGAGGAGAGGAGCGTGAGGGGTGGAGGAAGAAGGGGGAAGAAAGGAGGAAAGAAGGGCAGGCCTGGGGAGGGGAGGAGGGAAGGGAGAGGGACGGCCTCGCTTTCCACTTCACTCCGGTGACCAAGCCACGAGCATTTAGCCGCCCACCAGGGTCAAGGCCAGGGGGCCGCAGGCTGGGGAAAAGGCTGCTGCTTAAATCCTGCAGCCATCGGCCAGTTAACACTACGTTAGCCTCTTTCGGAAATGCCTGGGAAATCTCAGCACCTTCTAGAATAGTTGGGGGCTTTCATTTCGGACATCCCCTCTCCGCGGGGCTTGTTCGAGCTGAGGAATCCAAGCTCCTGAACGTCAGCCTTTGGCACACTGAGCTCTGGCCGTGGGTTATCAGCGTTTGGGGTGGGCTGGGTAACTGTTGATTCGCATTCTGCTACCCTTTTCTGAGCCCTGCGCATTAAATCAGCTGAAGATGATGTGGTGTAGTAGGCACTGGCTCTGCTTTTTAAAAACTATTATGGAAAATTTTTTAACATAGGCAAAAGTGAATCCACTTTTAGTAATGAACCCTCACTAGCCATCACCAAGATTCAACAATTATCAACATTTTGCCAATCTAGTTTCATCTATCGCCTACCTCCCCTTTTCGCTTTTGCCCTTAAATTAATCTGCAGCTCCAACTGATAAGGATTTTTAATTTAATCGCCATTGTCAACATCTAACAAAATTAATAATTCCTATGTATCTAATATTCAGTATGTATTCACATGTCGTTGGTTGAGTCCAAGATGTCATTCAATAGTTGTTTTTTTCTGATCAAAAGATCCAAAAAAAAAGTCTTCACATTGCATTTTGGTATCTCTTAAGTCTTTTATGCTAGAACAGTGAATTTCTGGTACCTTCAATAGTTTTATTACCTGGAATTCCTCTGTAAAAAGAACTTTCCCTCACCAACTCATTGGTTATCCTGAAATACAGGGATCGTAGAGAAAAGTCTGCATGAATGCTAGATTCTTTCACTTTAGTTATCAAATTTCACAGAAATGAGTTGGTGCCCTAGCAACCTCAAATGTTAACCAATAAGATTTTCTTTGATTAGTACCATTATGAATGCATGCATTTTAACATATCAGATTCTTTTAATCCATTATGATCATTATACTTTATGATGCTCAAATTATCCCATTTGGCTAGTGTTGCACGTTAGAGTTAGCGTCTTTGTCTTTTTGATATAATCCACAGACACTTCAATGAGCCTCCTGGCCTGCTATCCCTCTTTCCACACATACTCCTGGTTCTATTTTCTCTACTCCTGAACTTCTTGGGTTTTTTGCAAACCAGCCAGATATTTTGCCACTCAAACTGATTCCTTTGCCTAAAATGCCTTTTTCCTGTTTATGCTCCTCAACTAATTTCGGTATTCTTAAAGATTCAGTGCTACTTTTGCCACCTTTATGTAGCCTCCCAAATCACCCAAATAGACCAAGGCTTCTTTCTTTCTTCCAGTGCTGTAGGAGCACCAATGGCATTGACCACCTTGTATTAGGAATTGTTAGCAACTTTGCTCTCCACACCTGTGAGTTCATTGAGGGCACAGGCCTTTACATGTCATTTTGTATCTCTGAAGTACCTGGTATCTGAAAGCTTAACAAAATGATTCTTAAGTGAATAAATCCATCCATTTATAATATAAATTTACTGTCTACTATGAAATAGGTATTGAAGATCTAAGATAATTTGTACAGCTCACTGTATGATGGAGAAAACACTCAAAAACATGTAAAATACAATGTTATAATGGCATGATAATATTTTTCTGTCTTCGGGTATAGCTACATTTCCCACTTTCTGTTCCTTCTTCCCAGAATGCTCTTCACCCCTACCTGCATCTTATCCCTGCTGACTCCTCATCGTCTGAAGTCTCAGCTAGAATGTCGCCTCCTTAGAAAGACTTTTCCTCACTCTATCAGATAAATTATCTGAAGTAGCCAACAGCCAGCCCCCTTGATAAGCATAATGGAAGACACTAACCAATAGAATATGTCAAATGTAGTGGTTTATATATGACGTTGATTGTTTTACATAGACTGTAGTTAACTCCATTTTGCTGGAGTTGCTCACTCTCTCCCTTGCTGGCTTTAAGGAAGCAAGTGGCCATGTTTGGAAACCCCAAGCGGCAAGGAACTACAGGTAGCCTCTCGGAGATGAGGGTGGCCTCTGACCACAGCAAGTGAAAAACCAAATCCTTCAGTCCTACAACTTCAAGAAACTGAATTCTGCCAACAACCTAAATGAGATTGAAAGCATGTTTTTCCCCAGTAGAACCTCAGATGAGACCACAGTCTCAGCCAAAATCCTGATTGCATCTTGAGACCCTAATCAGAGGAGCCACTTAAGCCATTCCCAGATGCCTAAGTACAGAAGTGCGATAATAACAAATAAATGTGTATTACCACTAGGTTTGTGGAAATGCTGTTGCGCAGCAAGAAATGACTAATATGCAATCTTTATGAAATGAAGTTGGAGAGGGGTGCTAGTCAATAATACAGGTTCGTTAAAATCAAAGTTACACTTTGCAGGTTTGGGAGACAGTTCTCCATGGGTCTCTCATGTGTCTGCTTGTCTTGTAAGGGGGTAGCTGTCTGCCCTTTCCTTTGTGTAGGAAACAACCTTGGACAATAGAAATAATGTCTATCTCTGGAGCAAGGGGCAGGTTTGCTTACAGCCTTAAAAATCGGAGATCCTGTCTCCTTTTGAGCAAAGGGCAATATTTCTTACTGCCCATTATTAAAGGTTTGGGTTTCCTAAGCTTCCTTTTCTGTGTTGAAATATCTGTGATGTCACCTGGCCTTCTTCACATCACCCTGTGGGAATTGGGGCTCAGGGAAGTGGTGCAAAACTTCTGATACTTGGTTGCTTCTGCTATAAGTAATAAATGATCCTTCATCTCTGACTCAGCAGTTTGCTGGCTTCTACCAGCATTCATGGAACTGTGGCAGGCAAACAGGGTAAATCTCAGACACTTCAGGGTTCTTGAAAAGCTATAGAGAATTTATGTACAGCACATGTTTATCTGCGGCAATTGGAAAGCATATATTTTGCAGCGGCAGAAATGTAAATACTACACAGAGTTTCTGCTGAACCTACTAACTAGACAAGTGAGAATTCAAGCCTTGTAATTCTTCTCTCTCAGCATATGGTGGCACTCCTTCTCTACCAACTTCAACTATCCACCCTTACTTGATAAAGTCTCCATACCTGGGGTTAGCTAGGCATGAAAAATGGCTAAGAATACCTTTATCATGGAAAGATTTTAGAAAGTATTTCCTTAGTTGTTTCTTGTTACATCACCAGGCCTGTCATCCCATCCACAGAATGCCTGCTTGGTACCACCTGTACCTATGGTACTATGGTATGTGTCCCCCATAGTACCATACAATAACAGATTCACTATACTATGAAAAAGTCCATTACAGTCACCACTGCAACTCTTGCTGCCTACAAATTTAGCAATTATAGCAACAGCAAAGAGTGCCAGAGGCTTAAAAGTAAAGTATTGCTGGTTAAAATTGGAATTGGAAGTGAGAACTTGATACAAACTAACCTCCGAGTTGCCTCCGTAAACAGCAGGTTGAATCCAATCTTTCATTATTGAGTCTCCACATGCTACCTACTCTAAATTTAATCTCTAATTACAGGTCTCTCAAACTGCTGTGTTTTTCTTGGGGGAAGTGAGTTATTGAGATTTTTTCCTGGGGTAGAATGGAAAACATTAAATTACAATATTTTATACTCCTCCTTTTTCTTTAACTAAGGCCATCCCATAAGTCTAAAGGCATTTAGACTGGGTAAGAAAAGTAAAGCATGATGTTAATGTAAAGATCAATAATTGATCTGAACACTTACTTATTCATAAATTAAAAGGCAGAAGAAAAAATAACCCGTGTGTGTGGGCTAGCTGTACCATTCTGAAACAAGAGGAGAGTTAAGTAGCTGGATATAAATGACTATTTCACTTTGGAAAGGAGTATCCTTTGGTCTTTTATTCAAGGGCAGGAGAATATTACGTCCCAAAGAAGTGCTTGTTGAAAAGAGTTTAAGACCCACAGTGCTCAGGGAGGAAAACAAGGGCTTGTTTATATCTTGAACACAGCAAGTTAAAGGAAGTGTGGGTGGGGCAAGGCCTGCCAATACTAGCTTACCCTGAGAAAGTCACAGAGTGTGCTCACTGCAAGTATCCTGTCTTCACTGAAGCAGGGAAGGACAATGGGCAAGAAAAATCTTTTCTCAGTTGCAGAAAGGCTGTTTCAGTTTTTGGGTCTATAATCTGTATCTACAGTTTATCAATACTCTTAACTCCATAAACTCTCTTGGATATTTCTCATTTCTTCCTTGTTCATTTCGTAGACACAGAAGTTCAGTTGCCCAATTAAATACAATGATTAATTTTAAAATAATATTCACCTTTCATTTAGACAAATTAAGTGAGATAGTAGATAGACCATAGACCTTAGAGGGAGACGATGTGGAGACTCAGGACTGTCACTTACAAGTTATGTGACCTTGAACAAATCATGTCCATCTATGAACCTCAATATTCTCAGCTATAAATGTAGATAACACATTCAACTGTTATTGAACCCAAGTTCACGTGTCAGATGCACAGTGAGGCGAAACAAACTGAAACATTGGAGTTTGGAGCAGAGAAATGTTTATTACAAGGGCCAAGCAAAGAGAATGAGCAGCTCATGCTCAAAAGACCTGAACTCCCCCATGGGTTTCAGGGAAGAGTTTTTAAAGGCAAATTTGCGGGGAGAGCCACAGGGTGTGTGACTGACTCTCTTCAGATTGGTTGGTGGTGAGGTAACAGGGTGGTGTTCCAAGAATCTTAATCATCAGCCTTCTGGTTCCAACCAGTCTGGGGTCCCCTGTGCTTGTGCTCAGGCTGAAGTTACCATCCTCCACCTGGGTGGGGGCCTTAGTTCCTGTAATGGGACTCAGATCTGTATCAGGTTCTTATGTATATCCTTTTAGGAGGAACTAGGAGTCTTGTGCCCCTATTGTTCTAATCACTAACTATCTGAATCTGTACTTTGGGACTCAGGGAAAGTCTAGGAAGCTGAAGCCTTTTTCCTATAAACAAGAAACAAGGGAACTAGAAAGGCTTTTGTACCTGGGCGGGCCCCAAAGGGTCCCTGCTTGTTTTCACAACTACTGTGAAGATTAAATAATGGTTCACAAACTCAACAGTCCTACATATATGGAAGGTATTGTAGTTGAAGACTATGTTGTCATTTCAACTGATTATTCATTCTAAGTGTTCTAAAAAATCTGGGTTCTCTGTGAAGAATTATCAGTGCCAGGGACTTCCCTCGTGGTCCAGTGGGTAAGACTCCACGCTCCCAACGCAGGGGGCCCGGGGTTCGATCCCTGGTTGGGGAACTAGATCCCGCATGCATGCCGCAACTGAAGATCCTGCATGCCGCAACGAAGATCCCACACGCTGCAGCTAAGACCCAGCACAGCCAAAATAAATAAATAAATAAATATTTTTTAAAGTGATGAAAAAAAGAATTATTAGTGCCAGTATGAGTTACTGGACAGTACTAAAAGGGAAGATCAGTCCAAAACATTTTAATTTTGTATTTGTTTTTGTTTGTTTCTCTGCTTATTTAAGGGAGATCTTTCTGAGGAAAAAAGTGCTTCTAGATTCTTGGCAGCAACAGGGCAAAATAAAGCTTTGGGGGAATAATTTGAGTAAAAAGCAGTTATGCTGTGTCTCATGTGCTAACTACTGTTGGGGGCCCAAAATGAGTATGACAAGATGACCACACATCTTCTAGAAAGTCACAATACCTCTTTATGACAAAATGATTGCTTTTACTTAGAAGCAAGGAAGTGGCTTAACCCTTAGAATAAAATTTTCCACACCACCTCAACGTGTAGTCTCTTTGTTCCACACCACCTAAAAGTGTAGTGAAAGAGGACATTAAAATAATTAAATTCCATTTCTACCCCATAAAGCAGTGTTTTCAAAACTGCATAGAGCAGGATGCAACCAGCATAGTTGTCCTTGGTCTTCAGGTGCAGGACTTAATTGTCCTCTGTGCATGACACATGATCATCATTGGTCCCTGCAAGGGTACTTTAGTTGCATTTATCTTTATTCTCTGCCCCCACTTGCCTCTCCTTATAGGCAACCATTCTGTTTAAATAAGCAAATCATTTCACACATGTGTTCATACACGTATTTTTGTTTTTGCACACCTTCTTTAAATATATGCAAATAGTACTGGACTATGTATCTATTCTCTTTCTGACTTTTTTCCCCTACCCATGCTATTTTTAAAATGTGTGCATTTTACTATGTGGGTACGTTGTCAATTTCTTCTAGTTCGGACCCTGTACTCCACATTTCCCTATCTACCTCCCCAGTGATGAATGCCCAGATTGCCTCCAGTTCCCTGCTACATAAATATGCTGTGACAATGATCCCCATAACATGTTCCCTTAAGGACTTGCTGGGAAGTTCTTTGGAATATAGATCCAGGAATAGAACTGCTGAGTCATAGGATATGCACCTATTCTTAAATTAACTGGACACTGCCTAACTGCCTTCCAAAATGGCAGGACCAGTCTCCATTCCCAAGGATTCCTGCATACTCATCAGTACTTGGCATTATCCAAGTACTAATCTAATTTCAGTCTAATGGGTGTAAAGTGATACCTCATTGTTGTTTTATTTTCCATTTTTATGATTAGTACTCTTGGAACAGCCCTTTTTGTGAGTGCTGACCTTGGATTTTCTCTTCTACATATTCTACATATTCTCCTGTGTTAAATAGGCAGAGAAACAAACAAAAAAATTTGCTTGAGTATTTTTGCTTCTATATATTGTCTGTTCATATCTCTTCTCCATTTTTCTATTGAGGTTGCTGTTCTCTTATTGTTACTAAGTTCCATAAGTATTCTAGACATTAATCCCATGTTGGATTTAGATATTTCAAATATCTTTTACCAGTTCGTCATCTATTTGTTAACTTTGTCTACAGTGTCTGTTAAAAGACACTGAGGCATATTAAAATTTTTAAGAGTTTAATTGAGGAAAAATTGATTCCAATCAGGAAGCGCCAAACCGGAAGTGGTTAGGAAAGCTTCACCAACAGGAGCTCTGGGAGAGGCTTTTATAGAAAAAAGGTGGAAGAAAAGTAAGGAAATTGTTGACTGGCTACAGCTTAAAGCCTAGTTAGCTGCTTGTGATTGGTTGCCTTTAGCATTTTGATTTTTTAACCTTGAGGCATTTATAGGCTTAAATTTTGGTTTGCTTATGTAGGTCGCCATGGCATTAGTGCCACATCAGTCTAATGGCCTCCTTATTTTGTTACAGATCCCCAACAGGTCGGTGACCCCTCAGTCCTTTGCCTGGAGTTGCAAACGCCAATCAAATGAACCCGGGTTTGGCATAGCAGAGCAGAAACTTTATTCATTGATCAAGGAATGGTGGAGAGCATGTGCTCTAAATATACCTTCTCCCCCGGGGGAGAGGAGTAAAGGAATTTTAAGTGGTTAGGAGGCAGGGACATAATCAAGCCTCTAGGAAATGGGAGGAGATTTTCAGGGGCAACTGGGGCACGTGCAGTCTTCCACACTTCTTTGCACACTGCATGGATTGTGCCTAGCAAAGTGCAAGTTTCCCCCCTGGGTGGAGATTTTAGCATAGTAATGAAGCAAAGGTAACTTTTGGACACTGCCAGGTTTCACCTGCGCAGAAACATTTCTGTGGTGAAGTCAGAGCCGGTTCACGTTGGTTGACCACTGCACGTTCCTGGAAGCACAGCTGTAAAACATCTTTGACAAATACCAGGTGCTTTGAAATAAGCAAAGAGATAAATCAAGGTAAGGATCCTTTAGCTCTTAGGGGCAGGTATGGGTAACAGTTTAAATAATTTAGCATGTCCTTTGTAAATCCTCAAACCTTTATTTTCATGTAATTAACTTCATCAGTTTTTTTACTTACAATTTGTTCTTTTGAAATGTCGTCTAACCGGTTGTTCCGCACCCTTTGGTATAAAGATAATCTCCTCTAGTATCTTCTATTAATTTCTTAGTTTGTCCTTTCACATCTAGATGTGGAATTTAATTTTTTCCAGTTTATTTTCTTTTCCCCATTGATTTGTTGAACTGTGTTTATAGTATACTACATTTCCAAGCGATATCGATGTTGCCAGTTCAAGAAGCACTCTGAGTAGCAAGATAAGTGAACAGCTGGTTGAAAGAATAGTGGTTAAGGGTGACTTCAGGAGAATGTAAGGGCAGGATGTTGTATTATTAAACATATCAATGCAGAATGAAGTAAAATTCATGCTAATTAGTAGTTTTTAGATGACGAAATGGGGATGGTCTTAGTATCTTCAAAAATACACACATAGAAGTTACTCCTACGTGGCACCAGTTCACAGACACACCTCAGGATTCCCTGAGCTAAATCTCTGAAATACAGAAACAAACCTCGGTTAGGTGATACTGAAAGTTTTATTACCCAAAATATCTATCCCTAGGCAGCTGTTTTACGAACGCCCGGAAGTCCTGCTTTAAAAAATAAGTTCATTCTTTCTCCAACAATTCTCTGCAGAAAAAAACCGCAATGGTTATGGGCATTATATTGCAAATAACGTAGGCACCAGTTTACTTATCTACTTAGGTAGATAGGTGTTAACTGAATTTGAGAAATGACGAGGAAAAAGCGTTTTTCTAACTGGTATATTTGCCTTGTGACTGTACAATTCATACTGAAATCAAATCAGTTGGAGAGGGAGCTATGAATACCAACTAGCTGAGGATTTAAAGCGTGTGGGGTGAGGTATGAGTAGCAGAGGAATTTTTTTTTTTCTTCAAAACTTGTGAATTGGATTGTTCAAACTGAAGGGGGGTGGAGAGGACAATAAAAAGGCGGAGAATGTTGAGCGTAAAATACTGGGAACTAATCTGATATTCAAGAGGAACTGGCTTTCGCTAGTGGTTTCTCTTGTTTGGCTTGGACAAGTCATTTCACCTTCTCAGGCTTCGGTTTTCGACATTCGTGGTGGGTGTAGGGTTGAGATATCTCTGAGTAGCCTTACTACTTTCATCCTTTGTGGGTCCTCCCCAAGTCGATTTACAAACTCAGCACTTTCATCTCGCCTCTCTGCGCCTGCGCCGAAGAGGCGCTCTCGCGTTAATGGCTTTATTTTGCCTCTTCTGCGCACGCGCCTTTTTTTCCCTTTTAATCCCTTCTCCTTCCCCTCACCCCCAATTGTCAGAGGGAGGTAGGACTTCCTGTTCTTTTCACAGCGACTGCCGGAAGTGATTGTGGGCTAATCGGCGGCGTTTGCGGAGGCTGAAGAGTTTAGGGCGTCTGTACTAGTTGCTGCTTTGGGCGCGAAAAATGCCGGGTCTGGCGGCCGCAAGCCCTGCCCCATCTGAGTCGCAGGAGAAGAAGCCTCTGAAGCCCTGTTGCGCCTGCCCGGAGACCAAGAAGGCGCGCGATGCGTGGTCAGTGCGCAGTCAGGGAGGGGGCGGCCGGCAGGCTTCGCGCGCTGCGTTCGGGCGCCTCTGCGCCGCGTGGAGCTGGTCGTGGCCCTCGCTTTGTCGTGCGGCGCTCTTGAGGGTTGTAGAGCCCTGTAGGGTTCGCAGTCAGCTGTCTGCAGACTGATCCTATAGCTCAGGCTGGGGAAACATGAGGGGATTGGAGAGAGATCGGATTGACCTGGGCTCGCTTCGTCCGTTCATTCTTTACTGCAAAGGGTTTCTCATCATCTGTTATAGGTCAAGCACTGCCTTAGGTCCGAAGACGTAGAAACGGGTAAAGATGCTGCTTGATTTAAAGGAGCTTAAAGTTAATGGAGCATTAAAGTTAATGATTGCTGTACCAGGTTTGGCAGTATCAAAGAGTAAGTTTTCTGGTAATTTCTCCCAAAATTTAGACATAGTAGGACACAGGACAGGGTACGTTTCTTAACAGTAGGGAAGATACCCTTAACCCCACCCCTTTTAGATGATTTAAAAATCAACCAGGCTATGACATAGATGACATTATAGTGTTGAGAGTAGTACATCTACAGTACCATTAACCCGCAAAAGGTTTTGTTTGTTCTTATGGTATACAGCTATTGTATACAGCAAGGGCCCCCAACCGGGCTGCACAGCGAGGCATGAGCTACGGGCCATGAGCTACAGGCCATGAGCTGCGAGAAAAGCTTCATCTGCCGCTCCCCAGCTCCCCATTGCTCTCATTACAGCCTGAATCATTCCCCTATCACTCACATTACAGCTTGAACTAACACCTATCTCCCCCCGCCCCAACCCTGTGGAAAAACTGTCTTCCACAAAACTGGTCCCTGGTGCCAAAAATGTTGGGGACCGCTGGTATACAGCCTCTATTGTGGAACAAATCTCAGAAGAAATCTTCAGATAACGTGAATGTACACCTCTCCCTCCAGCCCCTTTTTGTCCTCACATAGAAAGTAAAGAGATCATAAGTGGCATAGAGGGGGAATAAAGTTGTAGTAGCTCAGTGCTTTTTATTAATACTCAGTACTTTGCAAATAATACTGTGAAGGGAGAATTGAAAGACTACTATGATCGGTAACAATACTTACACACTTTAAGTACTTATTGAACTTTCAGATATTATTTTATCATGATTAAGTGTCTGGGATCCAGTGTCAGGGTTTGAATTCTGGTCCACCAAACCAGCTTTGTGACCTTGAGCAAATTTTTTAACATATCTGCCTCATATCTGTAAAATGGGCCTAATAAAAGTATCTGCCTCCAGGATTACTGTGCTATAAGCCACATCAAGTGCCTAGCACAGTATTTACAGCATTCAGTAAACGATCAGGGAGGGCTAGCTATTAGTTTCACAAGGAGCTTGCTATCCCAAGCAGACAGCCCTTAAAGTTATTGAAGGATATGTAGGATTTAGAAGGAAGGAGAACCTACCTTTCTTTAAATTACTTCTGCATCAGTTATCTCTGACCACTATGGCTTCTCCCAAAATATCTAGAGTCAGGAGTCAATTTTTTTTTGTAGTTGAATTTGGCTTAACTTGATTCTGTGCTAAAATTACATTTTCAGGCCCTTAGAAATAAAGCTGTGTGGTCCTAGTCTTTCCTTTGTGAATTTTATAAGTAAAAAGTTCTTTGATCATCATGAGTGGGGCTCATCAGGCTGCTCTTGGCAGCCAAATGTTTTTTGCTCTTTGTGTTGGGTGTCTTGTGGTTAGAAGTAGATTTACTTAGGTGTATTTGAATGTAGAGCAGAATCAAAATTTAATTCCTCTGCGATAGGCAAAAAATTAAGCTCTTCTTTCTGTCCATTTAACATTAGCTTTTTATTCAGTTTATTTCATTATAGAGCGGTATTATTCCTTGGATATTGTCTAGAGGCAATATTTAATATGCATAATTATTTCTTCTAATCAGATTCCTCCGTGCCCCCCCCAAAACTAGTTATCTGTGGGACATTTTCATGGGCAAGGAGGTATCACAGGAGCCAATAAAACAAAGCCATTTGGTATAATAGCATTTTTTAAAACTCCAGTTGTATTCAGTGAGATCCGTGTTTGGCCTCACTCCCCATCACTGTCTTGCATGCTTTTTTACCACTAATGTGCTTAGTGCCTACTTTGTTAGATAACAAGTACATTTTGTTTTATAGCATCATTGAGAAAGGAGAAGAGAACTGTGGACCCCTAATTGAGGCCCACAAGGAATGCATGAGAGCCCTGGGATTTAAGATATGAAATGGTGAGCATGCTACTCTCTTATTGGGAAGGTAATACATAGGCTGACTGCTTCAAATTTGTGTATTGCTTTACAGATTGAGTGATCATTGGGCAGCATTCTGTCTGAAAGGTAGTTCACCTGGTTAACCTAACATGCCTAAGTATCACTGGAAAGATAACGTCTCAGTTTCTAGTGTACGGAATAAATGATGCTAATAAATTAAGAGGGGTGGGACTTCCCTGGCTGTCTGGTGGTTAAGATTCCACGCTTCCACTGCAGGGGACCTGGATTTGATCTCTGGTTGGTAGGGATCCTGCATGATGCATGGTGCAGACAAAAAAAAAAAAAAATTAGAGGTGTTTGGTGGATTTGGGAAGGGGAGAATTAAGCTTTCAAGAAAGGGCTTGGCAAAGCCTTTAGAGTTATGTTAGAGACAGAAGAATCACGACTTAGGAAGTTCAAAATATTCAGTTGTCTGACTTAAAAGGGAAATGTTCTCTACGTTTTGTTTCTAATCTTGTGAGTTTTTAGGAAGTGTTTTTAAATACGGAGTAGGCAGCACATGGAAGCATTGCTTTCTGCAAAACAGAAATGGAATTGTTGCAGTTTCTTTTGTACCATGCTTTATTCTAATAAAACTAAAACCTCAGACCATTGTTTGAAGAACTTTGAATTCAAATTTTAATGCTGAAAGGGACCTTAAGTGATGTGTATACAATACCACAAATAAATTATCTCCTTTTGTTTGGAACCTCTTCCTTCAGATAGCAACTTGACTTATTCCCTCATTTCAGATCTCTTTTCAGATGTTTTCTCCCTCACTTCAGATCTCTTTTCAGATCTGTTTTCAAGCCTCCTAATTGGAGAGGCTTTCCCTCAACATTCCATCTAAAATAGCATCCGTTCCCCATCTATCCCCATTCTATCCTGGCACTGTCCAGTAGAACTTTCTGTGATAATGAAACGTTCTGTGCCTGCACTCTACAATATGGTAGCCACTAGCCATATGTGGCTGTGGAGCCCTTGAAATGTGGCTAGTAAAGCTGAGGAACTAAATTTTTTGTATGTTTGTTTTTTTATTTATCATCCGAATTGCTTTACTTCAATTAGAATGTAAGTTCTGAGACAGAAGGTTTCTGTTTACTCACTGGCATACCTCCAGGACCAGTAACAGTGCCTGGCACATAGTAGGTGCTCAATAGAGGAGTGTTAAATCAATAAATGAGGAAACTAAGGCCTATAGATATGAAGTGACTTCTTTTTTTTTTTTTTTTTTGTGGTATGTGGGCCTCTCACTGTTGTGGCCTCTCCCGTTGCAGAGCACAGGCTCTGGACGCGCAGGCTCAGCGGCCATGGCTCACGGGCCCAGCCGCTCCGCGGCATGTGGGACCTTCCCGGACCGGGGCACGAACCCGTGTGCCCTGCATCGGCAGGCAGACTCTCAACCACTGCGCCACCAGGGAAGCTCTGAAGTGACTTCTTATAGGCAGGGTCAGAACTGGAACCTCTGTCTCCAGAGGCTCCCTCTGCTTGGTGCTATTACTCCCCTGTAAGATCCACACCACACCACCACTTATAATAATAGCTGAGAGATAATGCGAAAGCTACATACCAATGTAGGAGTAATAGAGAGCCTGGCTTCTTTCCCTTTCACCTCTTTCCTGCCTCTTTGGAATTTTACATGTGGCCAGTCTTCCTCACTGAGCTGTGAAAAAGGAGGGATAAGGAACCTGTCCCCAGCTGATAAGAAGTATCACTGTGTAGTGGAAAACAGTCTAGGCTGGAAGTCCTGAGGCTTAACTTTGCTTCTCCTGTTCTCTAGCTTAGCATGTGTTTCACTTTAGCTACATCTATATTCATCAAGACATTAATCCTGTCTGGATTTCACTTTTTTCATTTATAAAAAGAGAACCATAATATATTTTGTGATTTTACACATGGTATGATATCTGTGTATACAAGATATACTTAAGTGCCTTTAAGATTAGATGGTTATTTAAAGAAATCCCATGGTGAATCATTTTGTAAAATAAGTAAATATGGTTGTGGGGAGCTGTTCTTAAAAAGTTTAACTATTGATTATTTCAAAGACATGAAATCTCAACATTTGTACATGATTTCCTTGTTCCTAATCTAACTTTCTTCCTAGTCAGTTTTGTTAGCTGTTGCTTAGGGTTAAGCCTGCCTTGACAAAAAGGGTGATTTTTAAAAATGCTAATTTTTAGGAGCATCAGAAGTCTCTTGGACTTCATGTGGACCTCACAGGTGATACAATTATTGCTATAACTAGCATATATTCACGAGGACCAGAAGATATCATGGTTTTCTATGTTATTGGGACAGAGAGTAAGAGTGATTCCTGTGTACTTCATTTGTGTATAAAAGAAAATGCAAGAGCTTTGGACTTAGAAGACCTGATGTTTAACTGATTGTACGATCTTGGGCAAGTCCTTAACTTTCTGAACCTTAGTTTTCTCATGTGTAAAGGAGAGAGAACAGTACATGACCAAACTACTTCATTAGAGTCATTATGATGATTAAATGATATATGTGTGAATAGGCTTTGTAAACTGTCAAAGAGAAACCAGAACAGAAGCCATATCTTGGGAGTCATGGATAGCAGACATTCTACTGAGGTCTGTTTAATATATGTCCTGATTATTTTTGAATCCTGGTTACAAAAAGAAGAATCTGAATCCACATAGGGCCTTTCCAAGAATTGAATAATCATTTTAAAATTTTCAGCATAATACTACTTTTGGAGGAAGAACATGTGGTTGGATCTACATTGGTCCCAGGTGTCCTATTTCCCTGGCCCCCATGGGGAAATGGAAGGACAGTGAAGTCAAAAAAAGACTCTCAAGTTAAGAGTGGATAGGTGGTGGCATTCAAACTAGAATCTAGGTCTTTTTTACTCTCCAAATCTCAAGCACTTTATACTTCACTCCTTGCACTTAATGAGATTTTATTCCAACATATTCATTTTTAGGATTACACATAGTCTTGAACTTCAATCCTAAAACTTTATTTTGAATGCTAATTACAAAGACCTGTTGTTGAAATGCATAGGTGTATATAACTCAGAAACCAGGTCAGTGACTGTAGGGTAAAATCCAGTGCTACTGTCTGCACTGTTATAAGATAAACTTAACTAAATTGGTATCTCTTAGACTATTAGACCACATTTTTCTGAGGATAGCTTCAAAGGAAAAATATTTTGCAATCTTAGATCTTCCCAGTAATGATCATGAAACTTCCTTAATTCAAAAACCTTTGTAGATTTTAATGTTATTTTCTAAATAAGATAGATCTTAATTGTACCTTGAATCCAGTAAATTGGACTTAGTATGAAAGCAAGTGTACCTTTATAATCACCCGAGGAATGTTTTCCAAAATTCACAAGCCTGAGCCCTGAACTGTACCGGTTGACTCAGAAGCTCTTAGATAACTTTCAAGTGTCCCCCTCTTTAGAACCACTGGCTTAAGCTGAAGATGTAGTAGGGATGGTATAAATAAATATAAATTGTCTAAAGATTTAATAGCAGCAAAGGCAGAGACTTGAAAATTACTCGTAAGGAATAACAGGGTGTGATGGTGGTGATTCTAGTCACTTCTATCTTTTGACTGCTTCTTTTACTGAAAGAGAAACTAGAGGAACCTAAAACCTGCTTAGAAATGTAAAGAGGAAATGGCTGCTGGTATCTTTCTGCCTTTAGGAGCCAGGAGGAACCTAGAGAATCCAGCTGGGGGCTAAAATCATTGAAAGAAATTAAAGGACCAGCACTGAGTGGTGGTGATACTCAGTATTTATTAAGCTTAACAGAACTTAATAGTTCACACACACAAAACGCACAGAGAGACAACTGATGATGTATGAAAATATGATCCTGAGAGTCAAGAAAAAGGGTCATTTCTGCTATTTGAACATTTATTCATTCAATAGATATCTATTGTTTAAAACTCTAGAAAATGCCAAGATGAGAAGACACAGGGTCTCTTCTGTCAAGGACTTTGTACCCAGAGGCTTTCAGTGGGTAGCCCCTCCTGATGTATAGTAGCCAGTAACAAAAGCGGTAGCAATGCTATATAGACTGCTATCTCTTGAAATGTTGAGTGGCTTCATTTTTGCTTATCTTTAAGTGTATTCTTCCTTTGAGCCTTAGAAAAGAGAGAGTTTATATATTTATATTGTTGTTAAGGCTTATCTTCTTTTCTAAACCAAGTGCAGGGAATAGCTAGGTGAGGGAAGCGCTTGAATTAGACTTGAAGAATTGGCTAGCCCAAATTACTCAGTTACCTTTGTAGCATTGTTCCTGTCTTCTGGGATGGGGGATGGGAGTGGGGGTGGCGTGGCTGCCAGCTGTCTGGAGAGAAGCCTGGTACACCAGCAACCCCATCCTCTGCTGCTCTCCCTTTTTGATCTTTCCAAATTCATTTCAGAAGTGTTACCCTTACTTTGCCCTTGGGATTGAGTAACTTTCCACAGGAGATGCTTGTGTACAGAGCTGACCTTCTGCCTTCCACTTCATGGATCTTTGCCAAACACTTGAGTTAGAACGGAGGAGGCTACAGGTCTCTTCTCTTTAGTATCTGCAAAAGTAAACTCCCTTAGTCTTTTGTGGAAGATGTTTTTGAGAAAATAAATAAATGTATAGTTTTTACTTCAACAAAGCCTTTAAAGGTTAAACCTTGTAATGGATTGAACAGTTTCCGTGATGTTTTTATTTAAACAGAACTAGAATTTTAAAATGTGGATCTTTTATTTCATGACTGGTTTAGAATAATTGTGGCAGTTAGTTAATAGTCCTCAGCTGAGGCATTCATTTCTAGCATCTTAATTCCCTGACTTCATAGGTCTGACATGATGCTTGAAACCTGACTTTCTAAAATACATCTTTTTCTGCAGGTGGTCTGCTCTGGGAATTAATAATTCCTGAAAAATGAAGAAGATTTAATAACTTTGGGAGCTCTTTGATGAACATTGATAAATTTAAAAGTATTTATAACTTATTAAAAAAAAAGAGAATATCCCTGGTCAAAAGTCTTCAGGTGTGTTTCTTTTTGTGTTCCTCACATGGCGTTTATGTATTTATTTTTCTTAAAGAATACCTGTGGCCATAATTCAAAAAGAGTTATGTACCACAATGTTCATTGCAGTTCTATTTACAATAGCCAGGACATGGAAGCAGCCTAAGTGTCCACCGACAGATGAATGGATAAAGAAGATGTGGCACATATATACAATGGAATATTACTCAGCCATAAAAAGAAACTAAATTGAGTTATTTGTAGTGAGGTAGATGGACCTAGAGACTGTCATACAGAATGAAGTAAGTCAGAAAGAGAAAAATAAATACCGTATGCTAACATATATGGAATCTTGAAAAAAAAAAGTTTATGAAGAACCTAGGGACAGGACGGGAATAAAGATGTAGATGTAGAGAATGGACTTGGGGACACGGGGAGGGGGAAGGGTAAGCTGGGACAAAGTGAGAGTGGCGTGGACTTATATATACTACCAAAATAGATAGCTAGTGGGAAGCAGCCGCATAACACAGGGAGATCAGCTTGGTGCTTTGTGACCACCTAGAGGGGTGGGATAGGGTGGGAGGGAGACGCAAGAGCGAGGAGATATGGGGATATATGTATATGTATAGCTGATTCACTTTGTTATAAAGCAGAAACTAACACACCATGGTAAAGCAATTATACTCCAATAAAGACATTAAAAAAAAAAAGAATACCTGTGGGTTCCTCATCTGTGGATTCAACCAACCTTAGATCAAAAATATTGGGGGGTGGGGATGGGTGAATTCCAGTAAGACTTGAGTTTGCTGCTTTTTCAACTATTTACATAGTGTTTACAGCTGTTTACATTGTATTTACAAGTATTTGCATAACATTTACATTTTATGTATTGTAAGTGATCAGGAGATGATTTAAAGTATATAGGAGGATATGCTTAAGTTATATAGAAAAACAACACCATTTTATCAATATATAAGGGACTTGAGCAAATGCAGATTTCAGTATCCACAGGGGTCCTGGAACCAATCGCCCAGGATCCTGAGGGATGACTGTGGTATAAACAAATCTTGTAATACAAGCCCTGTGGTCCTATTAGCTGCTTATGAGCTAATGAGACAATTGGTCATATTCTGTCCAAGTAAATGGAGTTTTAGATCTCAACAATAAAAGACACTGAGAAGCATAAATAAGTGAATATGTAGGGTTCATGTATCACGATTGGAAAATTGCCTCTTACAAAAGAGCTGAACTAAAATGTTCCCTAAGATTCCTTCCTAGTTAATTAAGAGCATGGCTTCAAAGTGACAGACTTAAGTTCAACAGCTGGCTATGTGACCTCAAGCAAGTCAACTGTTTGTGTCTGTTTTTCTCATCTGAAAGAAAACAGAGCAGCAATACCTAAGTTACAAGATTGTGCTTACACATTGAAATGGTGTACATAAAGCATTTGGCACGGTAACATTCAGTGTTACTAACATTCTCTAATTCTTTGTATTTTTCACTTTAATATTTGTTTGGATGTAGAGTTTTTATTTTATTGATAGTAAGCACTTTATAGTTTTCAGAGCATTCTTTTAGGGTGAAGAATAGAATCTTGGACTCCTAAGGCAGATGATGTGAACCAACTTCCCACCCAATACAGATCCTTGGCAGATGGCTATCCAGATTCTGCTTGAATATGTCCTGGGACTACAAAAGGAAAAAAAAAAAATCCCTAACCGTATCATCTCCCAATGTTAATTTTTGCTGTTCCAAACTTTTCTTATACATTTTTCTAAAACAAAAAATTAGATCATTTTTCTATACTACATATTTTTAATGCAATCACAATATTAATTACCTTCTCCCCTTAATATATTTTACCACCTGTGAGTTCAGTTCTACAATATGAGTTGTAGTAGCTATGTATAAATCTACTGTATGGCTTACCAATTCCCTATCTACATACATTCAACAATCAAATGTTTTATAGAATGCCTGCTGTGTGTCAGATACCGTTCTAGGAATTGGGTCTCAGAATTGAACAGGATACATAACAGATACCTAAATTATTTCTGATTTTAAAATACATTGTTTTGCTGGCTGGTTTTATGGAAACATGTAAGGAAGAAAGAAAGAAGTCACCTGAAATCCCACCAGTCTACAATAGGGCCACTTTTTGGTGACCTTCTTGCCATTTATCTCTTTCTGCATGTATGTTCACTTTTTATTTTTATTTTTTTGCTACTCCATTATAATACTGCGATGGAAGTTTTCATAGGAAAGTCTTTACAAGTATCTTTACTAATCATTTAACTAAGGATGGGCCAGAGTTTTCAAAGCTTTGAATGAGTACTGCCTGACTGATCTCTAGAAAGGGGGTGCCCATACCTTAGTACCTGTGGGTGCCTGTTTCCCTAAGCTCTTAGCAAGGTTAATTTTTTTCAGCCTTTGCCAGTTTGATACGCTCACCTGATTTGTAAAGAATTAACACACCCTTCTTGACATCTGCCATAGTTAAAAGTACATCTCACAAGACCCTCTGCCTACCCTTCCCTAGTGCTTAAGCCTTCCCAGAAATCGTGTGAAGCATTTTGATACTATCAGTAATAGATGTCACCACAATAATTTGAAAAATGAAGAACTTAGCTTCCAAATAGGTGATCACCACATTCTGACCACCACATACCTCTTTGCTAAGCCCCTGCTATTCACAATACATCCCAAAATCTCAATACAGATACATTCACACTATCCTCTATAATTAGTTCCCTTCGTCTAACGTGAAACATTTGTCTTGAAGGTTGATAAGAACAGGACCATGTCCCTAAGCAAGGTCTCCATTAGGTTAACTATACCTTCTGCAGGTCTGATGTGAGGGTGATGGAGAAACTATAATCCCCATTTTACAGGTGAGTACAGGCACTCAGGTTAAGGAAGTTGCTCTGGTTAAATGTCTGGTGACCTGGGATGTGAGTCTTGGTCATTAGAGTTCAAGCCCAAAAGCCCAATGTTCTTTCCTGTACCAGGTGTCTAATATAAACATCATATATTCATAGTTGTAAATTCATTTATTCACTCAGTACATATTTAGTGAAGGCTTATTATGTGCAAAGAACTGCCCTAAGTGTTGAGTATTTATGTGTGAATCAGACATGGCCCCTGTCCTCAAGAATAGAGGCTGCTTGACTCAACATTTACTGAGGACATACTAAATGCCAACTATGTGCTAAGTAGTGAACAAAGATTAGTAAGACATGGCCTGCTCTCAAAGAGCTTATATTCTGGTGGATATATGTATATAAGCTAAAAAATATAAAGTTGAATATTCAGTGCTATGATAAATATTTGCCTTAAAAGAGTGCATGTGTGACTATACCCAGTGTTTCTTTCTTTAGCTATTATAAACTGCTAGATGGTAGTTCTATCTGTGTTAATTATGGTGCTTTCGACAGCTAAGTAATACAAAATCCTCATCAAGGGAAACACATAACTGGCAGTCCAGGGTTAGGGCAAGCTCTAGATGCAGTGATATCAAGGCTCTGTGGTGCCATCCAAGACTCAAGTTATTTTCATCTCAGAGCTCTCTCCTAGGACTAATGAAGCTAATAATGTACTTTCTTGTTCAAGTGCAGCAGAGGAAAGAGAAATCATTCCTAAGGCATGAAGTCCCCACACCCACCCCCCTTTTTTTTGGTCTGATTGAACCAAATTAGGTTATGTGTATTTTTATGGACCAATAATAATTGTCAACAGAATGCCCTTTGCTGACTGGCTTAAACAGGATTTCCTCTTTGGATCCATGTGTAGGTGAGATATCAGAACAAAACTGGAATTCTGTTACAAGGAGGAAGTGGTAAATGGTAAATGGGTATTGAGTAGACAACCAACTTTGCACTAAATCATCGTGTTCACTTAACCAAGTCATCCTGAATGGTCAAATTGAGTTTAGAGGAGCAATTCCTATCAGTTTACTCAGACTTTTGAGAGAAAATTATTGGTAGCACATAACAAGTCATATGACGTTCAGTTTTCATAGAATAAAACAATCAGCAGATGTTCGGAGAACTGTTGGTTGAAGAGTAGTCCTTACGGAGATCCTTAGGGAGATGGGAATCTGAATGCCTTCAGCTGTGAGTACCAGAATACCCAACTACAGAGACTTAAGCAATAAATGTAATTTATCTCCTGTCATAAAGTCTGAAGGTTGAAAGTTTCAGATTTGAGACAATGGCTCAGTGATACTTTGAAGAACCAAGGCTTGTTCTATTTTTCTCCTCTTTAACCTTCTCATCCTTAGGCCTATCCTATCTCATGGGTACAGTGGCTTCAAACATTACGTCATCATACAACTGTATTCAAGCCAGGATGAAAGGTAGTAGGCTTCCTTACTGTCTCTATCAGGGAGTATAGTTTTCCCCAGATACTCCCACACACGTGTCCTCTTATGTCTCATTGGTCACATGTCCACTCTTAAACTAGTTGCCATTGTGGGGAATGGGATATCGTGCTTAGATTTGACCAGTCTTTTTTTTTTTTTTAACTTGGAAGTCTTTTTGATACCAGTTCTTATTGTTTTTTTAAAAAATATTTATTTATTTATTTGGTTGTACCGGGTCTTAGTTGCAGCAGGTGGGCTCCTTAGTTATGGCATGGGAACTCTTAGTTGCAGCATGCATGTGGGATCTATTTCGCTGACCAGGAATCAAATGCGGGCCCCCCCCGCATTGGGAGCTCAGCGTCTTATCCATTGCGCCACCAGGGAAGTCCCTTTACCAGTCTTATTTCAGGCCCTGGCAACTGGGAGAGAAGCCCACCCTCCTTTACATATCGCCCAAGCAAAATCAGAGTTCCATAAACTGGGGGAAAAAGGGGAAATGGATAAGGAACCAGTAGTGTCTGCCCAATATCAACTCAGCAGTATGTGTCCAATGCCTAGAATCATGCCTGTGTTCGATTTTAATAACTATATTAGGAAAGCATTAAAAGCATCAAGCCCAATGTTTCTCAAACTACCTGTGGTGAAACTACATGTAGTTTCTCAAACTACAAGTAGTAAACTACTACTACTTTAATTTTTTCCAATTCACAGACTAATACGTTTCCTGTCAAACTGTATAAAGATGTCTTAAGTTCTCTCAGTTTCTGTCCATATCTCATCATGGACCAGTAACAGCTCTTGGACCAGCCATGGTCTGTGACCACTCTTGGAGAGATGGTGTACCCGGCTGACTTCATAATCTGGCCCTGGCCTGCCTCTCCTGCCTTGTGTCCTGCTGCTCCCTTTGATTCACTGATAACAAACTGTTCTCTGTTACCAGAATATGCCATGTATTTTCGTTTTACTTCTGGACTTGACTTCACATTCTGTTCTCCCTTCCCGGAATGCCCTCCCCTAGCTGGGGAACACCTACTTGGCTTTTTAAACCAGCTTAAATGTCATCCTCCCTTGTGATGTTTTTCCTGTATTCTTTGCTCCCCTATCAGTGCTTCCTTTGAACCCCTTCCTATCTCATGGTTGTGATAGCTTCAAGCATTATATCATCACACAACTGTATTCAAGCCAGGATGAAAGGTAGCAGGCCTCCTTACTGTCTCCACCAGGGAGTATACTTCTTCCAGAAGCTCCCTGACACGTCCTCTTATGTCTCATTGGTCACATGCCCAATAAGTGTATTTTTTGGGTTGTAGTTCTTTCTGCGTCAGTCTCCCTCACTCATTGTCTTCCTCATCTTCTATCCCCAGTTCCTGGCACACATACTTTGTCCTAAGTAAATGTTTATTCAATAGAATTGACTCAACAAATGATGTGACTTCTGTGTCTTTCCTTTTATTCTCCCCAAATATTTTCTACCGTGCTTCTGACTGCATATTTGTGTCTTTCCTTATAAGAACATACCATTTTGACACACAATTTTTCTTTCTTCTTCTATCAAACCTGGTTTAAAAACAAAGATACAGCTTTTCACTGTATTCCTGTCATAGGTCCCACCCCACAGGTATCACTGTCACTGTCACTACAGGCAGCATGTGGTGTTTATGCCACCCCAGCGGCATACACAAATCCCTGGTAGCAATGAATGAGCCTGCATATTAACTCCCCAAAGTACCTGGCAAGGTGGTACAGCACAGAGAACCTACAATTTAGAGTCACAATGACCTAGGCTTTAGCCCCTATTCACATACTATCTCTGTCACCTTGGGGATGTTCCTTAACCTCTCAGAGCTTGTTTCTTCCATTAATAATAAAGTATCATAGGGAGACATGAGGAAACAATAACTGCTTGACAAATGTTAGTACCTTCTGCTCAGATGAGCACATTTGTGGATTGACAAAAAAGGCAGGCTGAGAGCCAGCAGTCAGCTGGTCCGCCTGGCTCTTTAAGGGATCAGGACCAGCCCATTGGTCAGGTTTGCTGAGAAAGATGACCTGTTTTGAAATTCTATCTTGGGCAGAGCCTCGGTTGTTTCTCTGTTCCTGTGCTTCTCATTTCCTTGCTCACAGCTGGCAGAGACAGCCACTCTGACAGCTCAGGGGGCGCATGACTAAGGTGGAGGGATGAGCAGCTGCTGCTTGCTAAAGGGGGTGGCTTGGCCAGGAGGCAGGCAGGTGACCGAAAAGCAGCATATGGAAATTCCCAAACTCCACTGCTGAAATGACATCAAGGACCCAAATGGTTGCTGTGGGAAAGGCTGGGGGCGAGGGCAGCGGGGTGGGGCATGGGGCCTTCTCCAGGAGCTCTCTAGCTCTTTTCCTTTGCCACTGATTTTCCCCCTCAACGTTAGAAAAAAGGGAATAAGATGCACATTTGTTGGTTAGGTGATTGTAATTAAAGAAGAAAAAACCCAGCTTCTTTCAACACGCCGTACATTTTCACACCTCCATGCCTATGCTTCTTCTGCTGTTCTCACCACTAGAAATCCTCTTCTCCCTCTACCTGGCTAATTCAACCTCTGCACCCCAAATTCCTTGTTAGCACCTGTGTCTTCCTTCTTCAATGCCACCTTCCTTCCAGGCTGCCACGTCTCCTAAACTCAACTCAGTTACTATGCTTCCCACACTGAACTGAGGTTGTTTTTTGAGGTATCTCTCCCTTGATAGAGTGAAAGCTCTTGGGAATCTTTGATTCTCTAAGTGCTTGGCTCATAGCAGGCACTCAATGTGTGTTGAGTTGAAAACTTCTACTCCTCTGCATATTTGACAATTCCTAATCTCTCGCTAATTTTACTTAGGTTACTAGCAGTATAATAAAGGTCCCTATGGATCGAGCACTTGAATAGCTCTGGAAGGTTACTGGGTGCCTCCACCCCCTGTCCCCGCCCCCATACCTCAGGGGCTGTAGGAGTAATGGTAGTAAGGAAACAAAATCAAGGAGTCATGTGGAAGCCAGAGGGACATTTCTTAGTTTAGTGTTTGCATATTCCCAGATTTGAAATTGATGACCCAAGGTAGACCCCAGGTTCATCCAGAAGTTCCTGAATGTCCTCAGACTTTCTGGGGGGAGTGGAGTTAGGAGTCATGGATCTCGTCCTATATTTCCACTAACTGTGCAAACTACTTGGGACACAGCAATAAGATAGATGAGATCAAATCTTGCCTCTGGGACTTCCCTGGTGGCGCAGTGGTTAAGAATCCGCCTGCCAATACAGGCGACACGGGTTCGAGCCCTGGTCTGGGAAGATCCCACATGCCGCGGAGCAACTAAGCCCGTGCACCACAACTACTGAAGCCCGCGCGCCTAGAGCCCGTGAGCCACAACTACTGAGCCTGCGCTCTAGAGCCCACGTGCCACAATTACTGAAGCCCGCGTGCCTAGAAGCCCGTGCTCCGCAACCAGAGAAGCCACTGCAATGAGAGCCCACACACTGCAACAAAGAGTAGTCCCAGCTCACCGCAACTAGAGAAAGCCCGCACGCAGCAACAAAGACCCAACGCAGCCAAAATTAAATAAATAAGTAAATTTATAAAAAAAAAAATCCTGCCCCTGTCACTTACTACCTGTGGGAACTTGTTACCTCTCTAAACCTCAGTTTCTTTCAGATGTAGAAGGAGGATAATATTTATTTGGAATGGTTGTGTGATGATTAAATCATGTGTATGTAAAATACCTAATCTACGTCTGCCATTATGTAGGTGTTCAATAGGTGATGGTTATTATAATTTGCCAGTATTGGGGTGGGTGGGGTGATGGTCTGAGCAATGTATTACCATTGTATTAACTATTACTAGATCCAGATACACACAGGAGAAAGTCAGAATTCAAAAAGCTGCTTTGCATAGCTAATTTTCTTTAATGGTTGTCAAATAAATGCCTATTTCAAATAAAGTCATATTTCCAACGTGACTTCATAAAGGCTTTCAAGGGGTTTTCCACTTCTCACTGTTAGGATTTTTTCTGATAATAGTCCCATACTTTCCGACCTTGAAGTGTCCTCCTACCTCAGGAGAGCCCCCAGCCCTCCCAGAGCGGGCTCTGGACAGTGTCCTGCCTGAGGTGTGACAGTAAATTCTGTGCACACTTTCCCTTTGTCCACCCCCTCACTCACACTCACACACACACACACACACACTTGCCTCTTTTGCCCCAGGTCTTATCTTGTCCTCTGGGGAGGTATGTTAAGTGCTCTTCCAGCCTGCCTGTGTGCCTGGCCTGTTTTTTCTCACTGCCAGTACCACTTGGATTCCAATTCCAAACATGGTATCCGTCTGGGGTCACCCTTTCTTCCGGTGCCAAGAGAGATGCATTCCAAATGGTGCACAAATGTGCCTCCCGTGCTGGGCTCTCCTCATTCTGTTTGGGGACAACACAAAGCAGGATGTGGCTTCTTTTTTATCCCTCACTGCTGAAGTTTTCAGCCCCATAGTCCTATCTTTTCCTCAGGACAATTTAGGTTTCCTGCCAAGAGCCAAATGTGAAGACTGTCCTAAGAAACTTGGAGCCGTGGACGCTCGTCAGAGCTCTGCGGGGAGGGCCAGAGCCTTGCTGAGGGAAAGAGAAAGAAAGGTTTTCAGTTCTCCATGAAGTGTATTATGTTCTGCCATTCATTCCCCAAGCTAATGCAAGCATTCCTCCCAGGAAAGGTGGAGCTGGTGGGGAGAAGCCAATGGTGAGATGACATCTGAGAGGACAGGCTAACCCATTTCCTGAATTTCCCACGTGGGGACAGTCTTAGAGCCCGACAGGCTTTGAGGCCCGAAGATGAGCAGCAACGGCAGCGCAGTGGGCCAGCTCCTCTGGAGCAGGCCGCTGTGCGTCGGCTGGAGGCGGGACCAGGAAGGGGCTGTCTACCACCTGGCCACCTGCCTCCTGCTCCTGGGCTTCATGGGGGGCAGCGGGGTGTATGGGTGCTTCTACCTCTTTGGCTTCCTGGGCACGGGCTACCTGTGCTGTGTGCTGTGGGGCTGGTTCGACGCCTGCGGCCTAGACATCGTCCTCTGGAGCGTGCTGCTGGCGACTGCCTGCGTGCTCCAGCTGGCACACCTGGTGTACCGCCTGCGCGAGGACACCCTCCCCGAGGAGTTCGAGCTCCTCTACAAGACGCTGTGCCTGCCCCTGCAGGTACCCCTGCCAGCGTACAAGGAGATCGTTCGCTGCTGCGAGGAGCAAGTCTTGACTCTGGCCACGGAGCAGACCTACGCCGTGGAGGGCGAGACGCCCATCGACCGCCTGTCCCTGCTGCTTTCTGGCCGGTAAGCCACTGGGTCAATGCCCAGCATTTCTTCCCCACACCCACGCTTCTCATTTCCCAGTGCCTCCCTTTCCATTTCATGTCCCTTCCACTGAGGAAGGATGTGGCAAGTCAAAGCAACCAAAATAGATTTTTCTAAGCATGCGCTTTGCTTCCCCTTTCTTAGCATTTTCCATGAGGAAACTAGCTCATGAGGCACCTTGGTTGGCAGGAAGGATTGTATGTGCACTTGTGCTGGGAGGTGTGGGGTGAGTGTTTCTTGAGCCTGGGTGTGAAATGACCACACCACACACACACGCCAGCATGTCATGTCTAAACTGCAGCAATATCTCTGTAAGCTTTGGAAAACTGGACATTTCAGTAAGATTAATTCATTCCTTCCATATGCATTCAACATTTGCTAAGTGCCAAGTATGTACAAGAAACAGTGCCAAAACAGAGGGGGTTTCCTGTAACCCCTGTTCCCTCCAGGGCATCAAAGATCTTGGGGAATATCCCATACAGATTCTATGGTAAAGTCATTCTTTTTTGCGGTACGCAGGCCTCTCACTGTTGTGGCCTCTCCCTGTTGCGGAGCACAGGCTCCGGATGCGCAGGCTCAGCAGCCATGGCTCATAGGCCTAGCCGCTTCACGGCATGTGGGGTCCGTGGGATCCTCCTAGACCGGGGCACGAACCCATGTCCCCTGCATCGGCAGGCAGACTCTCAACCACTGCGCCACCAGGGAAGCCCTGGTAAAGCCATTCTGTATATACCCAGGTATGGAGCAGGAATACCTCTTGTCCACTTTTCCACTTCCAATTGTTCTATTGAGATTCTTACAGACGAAGAAGTAAAGTGCTATAAACCTGCGGGCCAGACGGTGAGGGAGGAGTAGTAATGCCCACGTGTGTCTCTTTGAGTATATGGTGGAGACAACTGGTTGACAGCTTTTAAGGAGGCTGACAGTCAGACCTTAGCAGAAATGGGCTTTGTCAGGATTACTGTATGCCTGGTCAGGCTGCATGCGAGCATTGGCCATTGACTGATCTCTTCTGAACAAATATACCATGGAGCTCTGTGCTGCACAGTTGGTAGGAAATTGTGAATTCTTTGAAATATTGCCCTAGTGGGACTTGTATGTGGAGCTAAGCATCTGACAGTAAGCATCTTAACCTGGTATGTACTTGGGCTGGCTCTGTGGAAAGCAAGTAGAGTATTTCAAAAGTTTTGTCCTTAATTTCCTCTTTCCTGCTTTCTTGAGACCAGGAGAATGTGGTAGAAAGACAAGAAAGTAATCAGAAGGGTCTGATTCCAAAAAAATAAGAAAGAAACCAGATAAGACCACCAGCCATAGTGGGGAAAAAAAGGAGTTTGACATTGATGATGATGGTACTACAACAACTACTGCTACTAGTAATAATATGCATTTATGTATTAATGTATAGAATCAAAGTGTGATGGATACATGTTTTTATTTTGTTTGGAGTCTGAGGTCCTGGGTTGAATGAGCTATGAGGTTTTGTGATGTTTCATTTCATTTATGGGTGAACTGAAGTGTAAATAAACCATACATCAGGATTATTGTATGGTTCAGGTATCTTTTATATAATGGATTTACCATGAACTTGTAGAAGACCACATCCCTGTGAAGAGGAGAGGGGGCCTTGCCCTCTCAGTGTGGCTTTTCCTATTATACTTAGCATCCAAAACCTGAGTCAAAAATTAGACAATTTTGATATTTTTCTTGCCTTACAAGGTTTGGAGTAAGAGTTTTGTTTTGATATCTTTCAACGTCATCCTGTCTCAACTTTGCTAAGTTGGAGCTGGAGAAAGGGGCTTCTAGTCTATATGACCAGCCTCCAGCTTTAAAGGAGAATCATAGTACCTTTGGCTGGTGAGGTACCAAACACCTCAAAGCAGCAGACAAGAACTCCATGCCAGGAAATGGAGGCTTCTTGTGGAGACCTCCCCAGTTCACGTGCAGACTCTCATCTGGAGCGCTTTGCTGAAATCTCAGACATCCTTTTCGTTTTATTTTCATAAGGCAATCAATCCCTTTCAAGACTCAGAAAGGCAAAGTGACTTCCTCAAAGTTCATCACCCTGTTAAGCTGTGCTTACTGTTGGAGATTTTCTCTCGTATACAATCCCAAGCATGAACTCCTGAAGAGGGAACTAACTGTCTAAGCTCTTCTTGGAGGATGAAATTACCTGATGTCTAGGAGGTCAAGAAGGAAGAGGAGACTCAAACTACAAAGGATACAATATACAATGTGAATGGTTTCAGGGAGTCATGCAGGCTCATTAGATGCTACTCACACTGTAAAATCTTGTCCCTCCTCAGTGGCTTGCTTGGGTGTCCAGATTCCTTGCCTGGGGAGAGGACAGGAGGATCTGATGTGTGTGGCAGCAGCCTCATTTCTTTCCTGTTGTCTTTCTTCCTTTGTTAGAGAAGCTTTTCTTTGAGGTTTTGGTCCCATTTATGGTGACACAGTGAGTTCATTTGTTTGATCGTTCCTTCCTTCTTCCTTTCCTTTCTCCCTTCCTTCTTCCCTCCCCCTTTCCAAAAATATTTATGAAGAGGGCTAGGGACTAGGGATCTTGTGTTAAAAAATGAAAAATAGGGCTTCCCTGGTGGCGCAGTGGTTGAGAGTCCGCCTGCCAATGCAGGGGACACGGGTTCATGCCCCGGTCCGGGAAGATCCCACATGCCACGGAGCGGCTGGGCCCGGGAGCCATGGCCACTGAGCCTGCGCGTCTGGAGCCTGTGCTCCGCAACGGGAGAGGCCACGACAGTGAGAGGCCTGCGTACCACAAAAAAAAAAAAAAGAAAAGAAAAATATTTTCCTTGTACTCAGGAAGCTTACAGTGTATGAAGAGAGGTACTAATTCATGTTTGACATAGTGGTGAATAACAGACATAGTATTTCCAAGGAGAAAGGCAAAGTGCAATGAGAGCATTTAAGCAGTGGACGTAACTTTCCTGGGGCAGCCAGACAAGACTTCCTGGAGAAAGGAATGTTTAACCTGAGGCCTGAGGAGAAGGTGGGGATTGGGAGGAGAGGCAGCTGGAGGGGACAGAATATGTGAAGACTGTGAGGTAGGAGAACACGGCACATCATCTTTCCTTGTATCCTTTCATTACTCAGGGAAGTTCTGATGGCCATCTACACATATTGATAGGTCTTGTAGGAGCAGGTGCATTTCTGCCATCAGAGAGTGTAGGTTGACACCACATCTTGGGCTTGGTTTGAGACCTACGTCCCCTTCTGTCTTCCATCTTTAGGTTGTCAGATAATACGCAATAATTTATTAATTGATGGTGGTCTTTGGTAATTTGCACACATACATATATATCTAGGCATTCACTAGGAGTAAGGTGTGGAGTGCTAATATCCCCTTGGCCAAAACGTAATCACATGGCTCTACCTCATGGCAAGGGGGGTAGGGAAATGTAGTTTAGCCGGGCAGCCATGAACCCAGCTAAAATTCCAAATATGGAGGAAGGGAAAAAAAAGATATTGGAAAACAATTCCACACTGGATTTCTCAGATCTCCATCCCCATTCTGATCTGCTTCTCAATATCCTATTCATCCTTCAAAACTCAGCTCAAATATCATCTTTGAGAAGTCTGCCACTTGGAGAGAACTAAGATCTCTCCATCGTCTAGTCTCCTGTCCCACAGTAGCACACGCTGACTTACAGCCAGTTATTTATGTACCTGTGGCTTCCACTAAATTGTGACGTCTTTAAAGGCAAGGATCAGATCATCTCCATATTCCCAGATTTCCAGGAACACAGAAGGTGCTCCACACATAACTGTTTAGCCAATAAAGCTCCAGAAAAAGTGGAACAGTAGCTCCTTTCAAATGGACAGGATGTACCTTAGAGATCTTTTTGATCTGCCCCCTCTGCCTGATAGAGGAACCTTCTTTCCCAGTATAACTCACTTTAGAGGAGAGGTTGAGGCTGAGACTCTGAGTTTTCGGGGAAAAGAGGAAAAAGTCCACACTGGACCCTAATAGTTTTCCACTTTTTAACATGTAACTTAGACTTCAGAGAGGATTCGGGTAGCCACTTCCCTTTTCCCACAGTCTCTTCTCTCCCTTTGCCAGGGTTCGTGTGAGCCAGGATGGGCAGTTTCTGCACTACGTCTTTCCTTACCAGTTCATGGACTCTCCCGAGTGGGAATCGCTGCATCCCTCTACGGAGGGGGTCTTCCAGGTAATAGGGAGCCCCATGGCAGCACCGCCCCAGACCATCCCACTGTAACCCAGCAATATCCCTGCCTCCATCTTTCCCCTCTTACATCTGTCATTTGAACCACTGCCAATATGATGCTCGGGGTGGGAGCACTCTCCTCCTGTGGGAAAAGTGCCTGGCAGAGGAAGGGTGGGGTAGGGAGGTGCAGACCCCTGAAAGGGGGGCTATGTCACTCCTATGCCTAAAACTCTTCCAGAAGACCCCAGTGACCACAAGATAAAAGCCCACACTCCTTAGGGAGTAACTTAAGACCTTTAGTGACATCCAGCCACATCTCCAGCCCCTTCCTTCCTCACAGTTCCTGCTCATACCAGCCCTACCGAACTACTAGTTCTTCCCTAAACACACCACATTGTTTTGCAATGGCCATGCCTTGGCTCCTACTGTCGCTTCTATCTGAAATGCACTTTCCTCACCCAGAGGAGGCTATGGCATCTCACTTCCTCTGAGGCCTGCCCAGGCTGACCTCACCAGCTTCCCCCCCCCCCCCCCCCCCCCCCCACCCCCCACATGCCTCTTCTATTCCTTTTACCATGCTGACTGCGCACATGTCTCTAATGATTTGGTTTCCCTTCTGTCTTTCGCATAGTAAACTCCCTGAGGTAGAAATCTGGGCTCTCCTCTCCATCTTCAGGCTCCAAAGGGCAATACCTTGTGCACAGTAGTAGGTGTTCAGTAAAGGTTCACTGAACTGGCTCGGCAGTGGGCAGTTGGTGTCTCAGAGGGCTCCAGAGGACATCATATACACACTCCAAGTTCAGGGCCTGGGTGCTAGAGCCCTCCTCTCCTCTCTGCCAGTCCTTCAGATTTCAGTTACCTTCTTTGTAGTTCTCACTTACTGAATGGCTAGCACGTGGCAGGCACTACCTATTTTATTGCCTTATTGATTCTCACAACTGTCCTCTGGGCGGAATGTTGTTATTAACATGTTTAACAGATGAGGGAACTAAGGCTTAGAAACCTCAAGTAATTTGCCCAAGGTCATCTAGAAAGTGGCAAAGCCAAGTGGCCTGACACCACTATTTCTATTCTTTTTTAAAATGGGAGGTTTACCAGGAGAGTGGAGTTTACCCATACCCACCATTATAGGTACTCCTCTGTCCAGACAGTTTGCCAGTACTGGGTTCCCTGTGTCTCCTACCAGTTCTATCAGGGAGCCCCTCAGGTGAGCATTTGAGCCAACCCCAGAATAGACACATGTCAGGCAGTGCCACCTGGCTGGGCCTGCTTCCGCCCCACCCTGACTCTTGGCTCTGTGAGGACAGAGCCTGAGAAGCAATCCTGATCCCACTGCCTAGACCACAAGCCACAGATCCCCTCTGAACGTGCTTCATCCACCACACACTCACGTCCTCTCCAAGCCGCCCAGCAGTCTCCTTTGAGAACCCTCCCAGGACCATAAGAACCCTCAGGAGGCCTGAGTCAGGTCCTGAGCCAGCCAGGCCAGGCTCTGCTTCTGACACTGAAACTGAGAAACAGGTGGTGGATAAGCCGGGCGTCCTCCCCTAAGTTATGCTTGAAAGGAAGGGCTGTGACCCCAGATGGCCTCTCAGTCATCTGAGAGGGATGTAGGGACTGTTATATTTCTCCCATTTGTATTTTTAGCATGCATCCCCATTGGGAGCAATGAGATCCACATATTTGCTCTTGGCTCTGTGAAGTCCCATTTCCTCTTTGCAAATGTCAAGTGTTGTCTCGGGTTGTAGTTCATCTTGTCCTTGCCTTTGCAATTGCATAGTCTTTGTTGACTAATAAGGAATCCACAGTGACTGAATCATAATTCTTACTGAGTTTACCACAAGGGAATCAACATTCCATCACACCTCTCAAGAATTCAATTAAGAATTTATTGACTGTTAAGCACTGTGACCCTTTCATTAGTCACCAAGAACATAGCATGGGAGGGATCACACAAAAATCAGCATTATTTCTCCCACTTGCATCATGTTTTACTGGACCCAAGGTCTCTTTACGTACGTCAGCTTATTTAATCCATTCAACCAGCTTCGAAGGTGAGGATTAAAGAAAGAGCTGGTCAAAACTTTATTACAGACATGTGCATGTGTATGTGGGAATCAGTCAAACCACTGGTTTCCTGAAGACCTTTAGGAAGGATTTTACATAGGACATGAGAAAATGACATCAGGTTGTTTTGCAACATACAAGATTGGTAGTCTTCACCTGATTTCATTCATTCACTTCAGTAGTATTTATTGAGCAGTTATTGTAACCTGGGCACTATCTTTGTTTTTTCTTTTTGGCCATGCCATGTGGCATGTGGGATCTTAGTTCCCCAACCAGGGATTGAACCTGTGCCCCCTGCAGTGGAAGCGCAGAGTCCTAACCACTGGACCGCCAGGGAATTCTCATCTGGGCACTATTAAATGTGCTCGGAATATATCAGTCAACAGAACAGATGAAGGTCCCTGCCTTCATGCAGTTTACATTCTAGTAGGGGAGACAAAAAATAAGCCATCGACATAATGAATAAGTAAATTATGTAATATGTTAAAAGATAATAACTTCTAGTAAAAAAAAATAGAGTAGTGTAATTAAGGGAGAGATATAGTTGACCCTTGAACAACACAGGAGGTAGCGGTGCCAACCCTTCACGCAGTAGAAAATCCACATATAATTTATAGTCCAACCGCCAAATATATGTTCCCCCATATCTGGGGTTCCACATCCTCAGATTCAACCAACTGGCCGATTGTGTAGTACTTTAGTATTTACTATTAAAAAAAAATCCCCATTTAAATTGACACACACAGTTCAAACCCGTGTTGCTCAAGGGTCAACTGTAGTTGCAATTTTAAATGGGGTGTTCATGGAAGTCTTTGTTGAATGGGTGACATTTGAGCAAAGACCTGAAGTGATTGGTAGTGTGAGCTCTGAGAATATCAGGGGGAACAGCATATTAGACAGAGGGAAGAGCCAGTGCAAAAGCTGGGTGGTGGGAAGGACTAGCATGTTTGAGGTTCAGAAAGGAGGCCAATGTGTCTGGAACAGAGAGAGGGAGGGGAGAGAATAGTAGGAGAAGAAGTCAGAGAGGTGATATGGAGCCATATCGTCTAGGGCCAGAGCATATATTTTCTAGATAGAGCCAAAAGGATTTCCTAACGCATTGGATGTAGTGCATGAGAGAAAGAGGATTAAGAAAACCTCTAAGACTTTTGACCTGAGCAACTGGAAGGATGGAGCTGCTATCAACTGAGATAAGGAAGCCTACGATAGTATCGTCTTTGTGAGAAGAGAGGAAGTCCAGTTTGGGGAGTGCTAGATTTGTGTCATCTATGGACATTTAAATTGGAGACACTGCATAGGCAGTTGCATAATTGAGTCTGAAATTAAGGAACAAGGTCTGAACTTCAGACATAAGTCTGGAAGTCGTAGCACACAGATGATATTTAAAGCCATTGGATCAGACAAGATCACCAAGTGAGTGCGTGTAGACAGAAAGGGGGTTCAAGAATCCATTAACTCTGGGAAACTCTAGTGTTTAGAATTTGGAGGGGAAAAGAGGAAGCAGCAAAGGAAGCTGAAAGGGACCAATCAGGAGATTATACCAGGAGAGTATGGCATCCTGGGAACCAAGTAAGGAGTATCAAAGAGGAGAGACTGAATGCTATGAAAACTGATTGTCAGACTCAGCAATGTAGAGGTCATTGGTGACCTTGCCAGGAACAGTTTGTGGACCACTGGGGCAAAGCCTTGCTGGCTGAAGAGGGAGTGCAAGAGGAATTGGTAACAGCAAATATAGACAACTTTTTCATGGAGCTTTGCTGAAAAGGAGAGCAAATCAATGGAGTGTTAGATAGCGAAGGAAGTGAAGTGAAGAAAAAGGATTTTAATTTTAAAATTTTGATTTATTTTAAGATGGAAGAAGTAACAGCATGTTCACAAGAATGCCCACGGTCTTTGTGTTCAGCTTTGAGCACGCTGTTTGCATCCAGATTAGCTCTTACGCACACCCACTTCATGTGCAGCACACTTATTTCTTGTTTGGGAATTGTTACTAAGTACATCGAAAGTACAGGTTATGGCAGATGTGACAATTACTTGCTGAACCAAATTAGTAATGGATGGATTGTGAGTAATAATTCTTTCCCATGAGGCAACAAACCCAGAGAGATTAAGCAATTCATCTGATGTCACACAGCTAGTAAAGCGGTAAAGCCAGAACTTGAAACTTGTTTCTGGTCTTGATGAGTTAATTTAGAGCCCTGACTTCAGTGCTGATGATTGAGGGGAGGGGAGGGGGAGTTCTGGAGGCAAAGAAATAAAAGGATTATATACGATCTCTAACAAAGAATGTTTGGAAAGCCAACCCTACCTTTAATGAGACGACCCACATAAAGGATTTAACACAATGCCAACATGTGGTTGCCTCTCAGTAAATGTCAGCTGCTGTCCTCCCTCATTTCCACTGTCTCGATTCACAAATCTTCATCTTGAGCTCTGCCAACCTGCTCACGTTTAAAGTATTATGGCCAGAGTATAAAGAATCGTGTGATTCCACACCCTTTTCCTTTACTATCCTAAGCATGTTTTCATTTGAAACCTACCTTTACCATCATTGTTTTAACAAGGTTTATCAAGCACCTACTCTGTGCTGGGCACACGTTATTGACCCTGCAAGTGTAACTTAGCTTTGTATCACGGGCACATAGTTAGTGCCCAGAAATTTCTAGATGTCTAAATAAATGGAGAGTGGGGTGTCCTTCTACTTTGTGCTCTTAAGAGTTCCTGTTGGGACTTCCCTGGAGGTCCAGTGGTTAAGACTCTGTGCTTCCAATGCAAGGCGCACGGGTTTGATCCCTGGTCGGGGAACTAAGATCCCGCATGCCGCAAGGTGGTGGCCCCCCAACCCCAAAAAAAGAGTTCCTCTTCCTCTGTGCCCTTTTTCTGACTTCAGTCATCAGATCCATTTGGTTACTTGTAGGGCCCAAGTCAAGGGCAGCTCATGGGCCTGAATCCCAAGCCAGCATCCTGTCCAATGGATGCAGCCTGGCTCTTCTCTCACTGAAATTCTTTCCAACTCTTTTTTGTGTCCCCACTCCAATATATTATTTCTTTTTATCCTTAAAAAAAAACTGTCATCAGCATCCTGAACTTTCTTCTGAGCACTAGGAGGCCCTTTTTCTCTCCTGTAATTACAGCAGGCTCAGAACCTTCTGTAGCCATTAGTGAGATCAGCCATGGGACACAGAGTAGGAGAGCTAGGAGACCGGAGGTGGACACTGAGGCTCTAGGAGGTGAAGGCCCAGCAAGTGAAGGGCTGATCTCAGGGCTCCTGACAAGAGCACCCTCCACACACACACAACCACCCCCCACCCCCTGTTGTGTCAGTGCACGCAGTAAACGTCGGTCATAGGACCTCTTCCAGGCAAGGCCATGGAGAGCTACTTCCACAGCTTCTTCAGAAAAGTGCAGCAGTTTGCGAAGTAAACGCTATATTTCTCTGTGCTAAGCATGAACACATTTTCTAGTTTCAACCTTTACTCTCTGCTCCTGACCCCTCTCAGGTCACTCTGACAGCCGAGACTGAATGTAGCTACATTTCCTGGCCCCGGAAAAGTCTCCACCTCCTTCTGGCCAAAGAGCGATACATCTCTCGCCTCTTCTCAGCCCTGCTGGGCTATGACATCTCGGAGAAGCTCTACGCTCTCAATGACAAGCTCTTTGCTAAGTTCAGGCTGCGCTTCGACATCCGTCTCCCCAGCCTCTACCATGTCCTAGGTCCTGCTGCCCCAGATGCAGGACCAGAGTCTCAGAAGGATGACAAGGACGTCCGTGAGCCTGCCGCATCCCCCTCTCCTCAGGCCCTGCCCACATCTGTCCAGCAAACACCCCCTAGCTCCCCACCTCCAGCGTCTACCAACCCTTCTGCACCTCCTCCCTGGGTCAGGATGTCCAGGCCCGACAGCAGCGTCCTGGGTGAGGACTCTACCAGTCTGGTGCTGGAGGATTTTGAGGAGGTGTCAGGATCAGAATCGTTCATGGATTATCAGAGTGATGGGGAGTACATGAGGTGAGGGGAGAACTAACATGGGCACAGCTGCCGGGCTCAGGATCCTGTGTAAGTACTCAGAAGGCAGCTGTCACTTTCTTGCCAACAGCTGGCCTTAACTGGGTTTGTAAGGGCAAAAAATCGTTTCATGGAGCCTGTCCTCCCGAGGATTCCCAGAAAGTGGCATTAACCCAACCCTGCAGATAGCAACTCACTCTTGGTGCATGCAAAGCATGAGAGGTTTTTTTTAATTTTTTTTTTTAACTCATCCCTTATTAAGTGTGATTGCAGTTTTGAAAGTGGGCTGGCTTGGTCAACATTTTGAGCAAGCAGATAGGTTGCTAATTTTTCTTTGCAAGGTTGTGCTAATAACTAAGGCCACAGCTAAGACTAAAGGGGATTTTATTTGTGGCATGCATTTTAAAGGATTTTTTACAAAGCTGACATGGTTCTAATTTCTAATGGTTCTTCTTGGCATACAGTCAGCTCTGGAAAGCAGTCATTACTTAGCCTGGATTGGACAGGTACCTCTGCTAACATCGAGTATTTCCAAGAGGCTTGTGATTAGACGCTAATGACTCTGGGAGGAAAATGTCCCCACCTTGCTCTCCTCTGGGCCAGTGGAAAGTGTGTTATTTGCTCAGGCACAGGACTGGACGCTGCTGTGACTGAATATTACTATGATAGGGTGACTTTCCCAGAAAACCACACCTTGCGGGAGGTAGAGTGGGCGTAATCTGGGTGGGACTAACGTGCAGGATTTCCCTCACACCTTAGGAGAGTGTACAAGAAAGTGTGTGCTGAGCAGTAACTGTTCCCCCTGGCTGCTCTCACAATACTGTGTGACTTATCCCTCTAGGACTCCAGCCAACCATGGTGCAGGCCTGGCTTTTCCTGAGGAAAATCCCACTGTTCCCAATTTGGAATGCATTTCCAAGGTGGGGGAGGGCTAGCTAAGAGATTAATCATTCTTTAGGAAACACTGACTATTTTCCCAAGAAACTAGTTCAGTGAGGAAGGCATTTAGGGTACTTGAGGTAAGTAAGTGAATGTTTGTATATTTTGAAAAGCAAGTCATATAAATGATGAAAGAGGCAGAGAGGCAAATGATAAAAGTTAGCTATTTGGTTTCATAGGTGTGGAATTGATAATCTATGGAAGCAGAGTCCTTACAACCAGCGTCTAGCACCCGAGATCACTTTCTTGACCTCCTCCATTTGTGTTGTCCTCTCCTGTTGCCTCCTTCCCACTGTGCCCTACTCGCCCACCCCCACCAGTGCATATGGATTCTGTCCTGTGGGTCCCTCTCTTTGTCCAACACACCTACCCACCTGCACACACTCTGAACTCACAGCAGCTCCCTGTGTCCTCATGTCCTTCCTGGCTTTCTTCTCTTTTCCTGGCTCTATTTGTTCTCCTCATTCTCCCTTCCTTCTGACTTCTGCTCAGTCCTTGGTTCCCTCAGTTTGCTGCTCTTAAGAAGAAAAAGGCCTGTTTCTTCTTCTCGGTTAATTTCCCCTCTCCATATTTGTCCTCCACGTCTTCCCCATTTTACTGTTGCTGTATTTCTCTCTCTGTTGCCTTCTTCCCATTTGCCCCACTTCCTATTTTGCTCTGTCTCTTCTTCTTCCTACGCTGCTCTGTATCCCCAACTTAAGTTTTTAATCCTGACTCTTCCAAGATCAGTACCTCCCCCTCTGCCTATACAGAAAACCATTCAAGTGAAGGTGTGAAAATTCCCACCTTTGATGGCTACACATCTTACGTATGAGTTACCCCAAACGTTAAGAGGCAGGCGGGGTTGTAAAGAAGAAAGAGACCCACACTGGGAGCCCGAAGTCCTGGCTGCTATGTCTGGCTCTGCTACTGATTGAAAACCACACAACCTCACTGAACCTTGCTTTCTTCATGTGGCCCCCAAAGGCCCTCCTGGGTTTATGTGAGAAGGCAAAGGATGTGCTGTTCAGAGGAGGAAAGAGAAGCAGCCAGTCAACAGTATAATGGACACGAGCCCCAGGACATCAGCGTGTCTTCCAGCAAGAACTCGCTGCTGTATTTCACTATGATTTCTCTTGTGACTTGGGACTGTCCTCCGCCCTGCTGGGTGGTAGGTCCTGCTTGACTAGGAGTTCTCTCCATTCTGTACCTGTGAAGAGTCTATCACCTACCACGTGATGACAGTGCAGGGCGGTCACGACTCCATCTCCCAGGTCCTCCATCCTTAATACTATTGCATAAAAGGCCTCTTTCCAAATTCAGCCTTTTCTGAGGCTCAAGATGAGAAAACTGCTAACATAACTCACTTTCTAAAGTACTAGTATTTGTAGTATAAAGAGAGTAGGTTTTTAAATGTTCTTTGGCTTAAGTAATAGAAAGGGAAAAACACATTGTTTACTTCCACAGAGTTTTCAGAACAACTTGAAAACGTGATCAAATCGGCCAAATTTTAGACAGCTTTCAATTTAGTCTGTGATAATGGGATAATTTAACCCGGAGACCTTTTCCTCGAATTGTGTTTTAGGGTGTTTGGTTTGACTTATTTGCCATCAAACTCCTTTTAGTGTTATTACTGTAATGAATAAGCATAGTCCCTCGTGATTGGTAGCAATTTACTCTTGTTTCCTTTCTAAAGCAGGGCACAATTCACCATCTAGTCCCTGGCTCTTCAATGACCAAAATTGTAAGCTCATTGCTATTCATCCCCGCCCAGCACTTACATAAGAGGCATGAAGCTGACTGGATTCTGCATTGTCAGGACACAGCTTCATCACACTGACGCCAGCGCTTGTCCCTCACAACTAAAAATAGTCAGAGGTTCTACTGGAGCTTATTTTTGAAGAGAGCACATTTTTCAGTTTGGTGGTGCCCAGAATTATCCACAATTGCGTGCTACTTTTTCTAATATGCAAAGCAGTGCTGTTGGATAATGTATTCATGCAGGGTCTTACAGTTAGACCTCAAATTAACCCTGCCTTCACTAGAATCTTTCCAGTTAATTCTATGAACACACTCCACAATGCTCCATTTGATGTCTTACTTAAGGAGATGCTCAATGAATACATCTCTGAAGTGGTCAGTTAAGTCAGATAATGAGTCCATTATCACAAATTAACTGAAAGCTGTCTGAAATTTGGGCAATTTTGCTTATGTTTTCAAGTTGTTCTGAAGACTTTGTGGTTTGAAAGTAAATACTATATGTTGTTTCCTTTCTATTATTTAAATAAACAAACAAATGAGAAACAGATTACAACATGGAGGCTAATTGTGGTCAAGGAAAGAGGCCAGGACCAGGACATAGTACCAAGGCCACAGAACCAATTCAACAAACATTCACTGAGTATCCACTGTGTATTTCAGGCACTGTGCCAGGTAATCACATTATGAGTAATCATGAGTAACAGTTGGAAGAATGTAAGATGCTTAATCTGCAAGAGGTGGACAAGAGTAATACCTTCGAATTTTGAAAAGAAGAGGAATTACAATTTCCCTTAATTTGGTGAAGTTCTTGAGGACAGAAATGAATTAAGGGCTGAAAGCTATAAGGAGAGGATTTTAGCTCAGTATTAATAATGGATTTGCCTCAAGGAGCAGTGAGTTACTCGTCACTGGAAGAATTCAAATAGGGATCAGAAGAAATCTTCTCAGAGGTTTTTTTAAGGTGATTCAAGCTCTGAGAGAAGGATGCCTTAGGTTATTGCTATTAAGGTGCCTTCTAACTCCGTGATGCTATGATTCTGTGATTCTAAGATGTGACTCTAGTCCTGCCAGTTAACCACCTTCAAGAGAAGTTCCTCATCTGCGAAACAGGGCTAGTAGTCTCATAGATAATTAATACCTACTGATAAGTAGATAGGTAGCCTCTGTCTACCTTACCAGGTTGCTGTGAGGAGTAATTGAGATAAAGTACACAAAGGCAATTTGTAAGCTATAAAGCACTAGTTTAATGTATAAAGTATTTTAAAATTCTGTCTGTATAGATTTATTTAACAAACTCCTCCCCACGCTGCCCCTGCTTCTCTCTTCCACTCCCTACCCCTTCTCCTCTGAGACACATGATTTCCCATCTTAGTTCCTCCAGTCTGGTATTCCAAGGAAGGTAGCAGCTGAAAGGATCCCCTGACAACAAAAGGAACAGCAAAAAGGTGGTGATCCAAAGAAAGCACACACTAGCTCCTTGGCCCCTGAATAACCAAGCTATAGCCAGACCTTCACCTGTTTTATTTGCTCAGGAGAGACTGATCACCGTCACACTATATTCAGGCTCTTTCCCTCGGAAGTGGCCGTAAGGTGCTTAGTTAGCTGTCAGTGTTGTTAAATAGCATGTTTCTCCCAGAACCACTAGAAAGCCTCCTGGGGCAGAAGACTTGCCCTTGAAGGTGGCATGGCAGGAGCTGCCTGGGGCCTCAGGGTCTGGGTCTCTAGATGGTAGCTCTACTCGACCTGCCAAGGCTCTGTGTTCAGGCAGGTAAGTTAGAGGCAGCAGTTCCCTCCCCGCCCTCGGGATCCCAGCAGCCTACAACCAGGGCCCACCCCCAGGTTATTCTTCTACTTCTGTTTTACAGGCCTCATTTACCTATCCCTCTCTTTGTAAAAATAAAAGACAGGGTTTTATAAAACTCACCAATTTTCTATGCAGATTTTTGAGAACTCATTCCGTAATGTTAGGTAGGATTCTTCATAGGAAGCGTATAGATTCTTCATAGGAAGCAACTGAAGTTGATCTCTTGGTCTCTTCTCCTATAAAATGAGAGGACTGGACTATATAACTTCAAAGCTGACTCACCCTAATATTCTAGAAGGAAATGATTCAAAGATACATCTGCCCCTATTATGTTAGGCATTGGGTACAGTTAAAATATTGGGAACTGGTAGAGGAAAAAAAGACGTGAAAAGAACCCTGTGAAGTTATGCGAGCTATCTGGAGCCACAGTGCTGAAATCCTTCCTCTGTCTTTCCACAGCTTCTAGAACTCCTCTCCAGAGCTACTCTCAAGTTATGTCCAGGGGACGGGCCCCCTTGGCTCCAACTCTGACTCCTGAACTGTAAGGATCAATGGACCATCCTTTTCTCTGGCCACATTAATCCTCACAGGAAGGTGACTCGTGTGCACACCCCTCTTCTCACCCACTGGAAGGCTCTCAGGCAAGGTCGGAGCAAACACAGAAGATGCTAAAGTGCTGCAGCCACACCAAGGCCCCCGAGTGACTTTTAGAACTTTGCCTTCACCAGGCTTCCTTCCCAGGGAAGGCATCCCAAAGTGCAAAAGCACAGATTCTATCCTTTACTAACTGCAGAATCTCAGGCAAGTCACATAGCCTCTCTGAGTGTCTGTAAAGTGGGGATTATAAAACCCAGTTCACAGGGTTGTGAGGATTCAATGAGTTGATTCAGGTAAAGCACCTAGGACATGGCGTGGCACCTAGTAAGCACTCAATAAATCACTCATTTCCTTTCCTTATGTTGTTTCTTTCAGCGTTCTGAAAATATCAATGAAGTCAGCTATCCAAGAAGTTTTCACTGTTTTTATCTTGTTTTATTTAAAAATTTTTTTCATTAAGGTTCAACATAGGGAAGTAGAAATTTTAGAACCTAGTTTGCCATTAAGCTTTTAAGTTCAACTTACAAATCTTTCCCTCTATTTATGACCCTAATATTAAACAGTAGTTTTTAGAGGGATTTTTACAAATCTATTTAATTAAATTTCCTTAAACATTTTAAAGTAGACTTACAAATTTAACATATTCTATTTTATTTTTTTCCCCAAAATACTGCCACATGTATTCTGGTTACCTATTGCTGTGTAACATTCATCCCTAAAGCAGTGAGTTAAAATCATCACGATACTTTGTTTTGCTCACAAAAGTGGGGCTTGGCTGGGCTCAGCTGGGCTGTTTGCACTCAGGGTTTCTTGTGTTGTTGCATTCAGACAGTGACTACAGCCAGAATCACCTCAAAGGCTTCTTCATGCATGTGTCTGGGGCCCAGGCTGGGAAGACTCAAACTAGCTGAGGGCTGAAACAGCTGGGAATCCTTGGGCAACCCTTGCTCTCTCAAGAGTTTGTTCATTTTATTGCTGTATAGTACTCTGTTGTGTGAATATACCACAATCTACTTATCCATTCCACTACTGATAGGTGTTTGGGTAGTTTCTAGCTTGGGGCAATTACGAATAGTGCTACTATGAACATTCTTGAACTTATCTTTTGGTACGCAGATGTACACATTTGGGGGGTATATACTGGAATTACTGAGGCATTGGGTATGTATATGTTCAACTATAGTAAATACTGCCAAACACTTTTCCTAGGAGATTATACCGATTAATATTCCCACTGTGTATGAGTGTTCCGGTTGCTTCTCATCTTCTCCAATAGTTGGCATTGTCTTTTTTTTTTTTTTTTTTTTTCATTTTAGCCATTTGGGTGTATGTAGCAGCATATCATTGTGGTTCTTTTTTTAAAGTTTATTTATTTTTGGCTGCATTGGGTCTTAGTTGCTGCACGCGGGCTTTCTCTAGTTGTGGCTAGCGGGGGCTACTCTTCATTGCGGTGCGCGGGCTTCTCATTGCGGTGGCTTCTCTTGTTGCAGAGCATGGGCTCTAGGTGGGCAGGCTTCAGTAGTTGTGGCACGCAGGCTCAGTAGTTGTGGCTCGAGGGCTCTAGAGCACAGGCTCAGTAGTTGTGGCACATGGGCTTAGTTGCTCTGTGGCATGTGGGATCTTCCCTGACTAGGGCTCGAACCTGTGCCCCCTGCATTGGCCACTGGATTCTTAACCACTGCGCCACCAGGGAAGCCCTGATTTATAGAGTTTAAGAATAGTTTAGGGGCTTCCCTGGTGGCGCAGTGGTTGAGGGTCCGCCTGCTGTTGCGGGGGACACGGGTTCGTGCCCCGGTCCAGGAGGATCCCGCATGCCGCCGAGTGGCTGGGCCCGTGAGCCATGGCCGCTGAGCCTGCGCTCCGCGGCAGGAGGGGCCATGACAGTGAGGCCCGCGTACCGCAAAAAAAAAGAAAAAAAATAGTTTAGGAGGTAGTAGCATATTGAGTAAGAGCTTGGGCTCTAGGACAAGTCAGTTCTTTTATTCAGATTCAAATGATTTTTCTGCACTAATTGAGTTTATTTTTCTGCTTTATTCTGTTAATGAACTACATTAATAGATATGTGAATGTTAAAACAAACTTGTATCCCTGGAACAATTCCAGTCTTATTATGATGTATTTTCCTCTTTATGTATTTATGAACTTGGTTTGTAAATATTTTGTTTAGTAGTTTTGAATCTATGTACCTTGTCATATCATTGTCAGGTTTTAATATCAAGGTTATGCTGACTTTGTGAAAGGAGCTGGGAAGTTTCTCTCTCTCTCTCTTTCCCCCTGTCCTATGAAAGAGATCTTTAAACCAAAAAAGTTTTATAACTCTTCATTCTCATTCCACTCAGTTGCCCAGGCCCAAAACCTTAGAGTCTTTCCATCAGTCTTGTTAGTTCTATCTTCAAAATATATCCCCAATTCAACTCAGCATGTCCATTGCCACCACTAATTTCAAGCCACCATTATTTCATAGCTAGATTAACTTTAATAGATTTATAACTGGCTCCTTATTTCTCCTGTCCCTCCTCCCCATAATCTATTCTACACAAAGTTGTCATTTCAAAATGTGTATGATGTCTTCACTCTCTTGCTCAAAATTTCAAATGACTTCTTATTCCACTTAGAATAAAATCCAAATTTCTTACCATGTGATAATAGTCAGAATCAGCTTTTATGACTTAATGGCACACAGATTTATTGCTCTTAAAGTCTACTGAGAATCTGCTATGACTCATCAGGGCAACTGTCTTCATGTTGCAACTCAATGAATGATTCAACCTACTTTGACCTTCTGGCTTTTTTACCTTAAGAAAGAGACAGCTTGACGTTCTTGTACTGGCTCTTTGATGCTTTGGCCCAGAAGTGACACGAATCCCTTCTACTAGTCACATGGACCTACTTAATAATCAGCTCTGTGTTCTGTTGATTACAGGGACTGGGCAATGTGGGAGAGTAAAAGGAATGCTGATGAATGCTACTCTTTTAGCTACTTAGGACCCACAAGACCCCACCTGCCTGTCTCTCCAGCCATACATCATTCTGCTCTTATTCTCACTCATCATGTTTCAGCCACACTAGACTTTTGGGTGCTCCTCATACACACCCAGCTCCTATCTATATCAGGGCTTTTGCAGTTTTTCTTTCTCTCTGCAGTGCTTTTCAATCATACCTTCTCCTGGCTGACTTCTTCTGGTCACTCAGTTCTCAGCTCAATGTCACCAACCCAGCTAAGACACCCACCTCACCTCACCATCACCGTCTGTCCTCTTGTCCTCTTGCCCTGTCTTCAGAGCCCTATGTTCTCTTTCCTCACCTTTTAGGATTCCGATTATGAGCTTTGTAGAACTTTGCAGTGTGTTCTATATTGCTCTTCTGTTCTTTTCTCATTTATTTCCCTAAAGTTATACTATGTATTTATTTTCTTTCTTGTTGGAATTCTGTCTCTTCCATGTACATTTCACTATAGAAGCCCTTTGTCAGTCTTGACAAATCCAACAGCTCTCTTGTCAATCCTTGAGGGCTGTTGTAGGGAGTGAATGAAGCAATAAACAACAAAAAAGCTCCTTGTACATTGTAAACTGAGACTCAAAAATGTTACCTGGGGTGCGGGGCCCCCCCCCCCCCCCCGAGCTGGAGGACTGCCCAGGCAGGGCTGTTGTTACACACATGTGGTATATAACAGAGGTTCCGCAGGATGTGAAACGCTTTTAACGTGTGTGTGTTTGTTTTCAAAAGGATCAGACCTTATCGCTTTTACGTGGAATCTAAAAATATGGTACAAATGAACTTATTTACAAAACAGAAATAGAGTCACAGATATAGAAAACAAACTTATGGTTACCAGAGGGGAAATAGTGGGGAGGGACAGATTGGTAGTTTGGGATTGACATGTATATACTACAATATTTAAAATAGTTAAGCAACAAGGACCTACTGTATAGCACAGGGAACTGTGTATACAGTATTGTATACACAGGGAACTGTGTATAGGCCATTCTGTAATGGCCTATAAGGGAAAAGAATCTAAAAAAGAGTGGATATATGTATATGTATAATAACTGATTAACTTTGCTGTACAGTAGAAACTAACACAAAATTTTAAATCAACTATACACCAATAAAAATTTTTAAAAAATAAAAATTATGGATTGAAATCCTAAAAAAAGAAAGAAAGAACGAGCTTGAGAAGTCATTTAGCCCATTATCCTTCCTCCCAGGCAGGATAGCATTTAAGCTAACTTTGGAAAGTGATATGTATTCCTTTCTTTAAAAAATAAAACTATCCGCAAGCACTGCCACAAAAATAAATAAATAAATAAATAAATGACAAATAAATAAACAAACAAATAAATGACATTATATGGATTTGTGAACCTCTTACAAAATCCCATACTAGAGGTCCACACATGTGAAAATAAAATCTTTGGGTTACAACTTCATGTATTCTGGAATAAAGCTTGACATATAGTCAGATTTGCTCTAAGGAGAGGACAATAAATATTCTTTTATCTCATGAAGACTTACTAAATATCCACTGCTGTCAAACACTATTCTGGACACCACATGCTTTGCTGGGTGAATCATGGTCTCTGCCCTGAAGGAGCTCCAGATCTAGAAAAGAAGATACATGAGTTATAGGCACTCTCCCACATCTCCACCAAGGCCTTATTAAGTCAAGCTCCCTGGGCCTGACTCCTCTGAAGATTAACAGGCTTCTTGTGGCTCATAAGCACTTTAAGGTGAAGCTGGATCCCTGATACATATACAAATAAGCACTACTCCAGTCCATTGTGGAAAGCCTTACATGAGTAGTTGAAACCACTACAAGAGCTACAGAAGTTCAGCAGGTGTCACTTCCCATTTCTGGGATCAGGAGGTGTTCGTGAAGAAGCTGACTTTGAGCTGTGCCTTAAAATACAGAGAAAGGTAGGCAAAGCAGAAAAAAATCCAGGTAAAAGATGCACGTGAGTCTGTGGGCTGGAGGTACAAGTAAGGCATGCTTGCAGAAGAGAAGCAACAGCTCTCAGTGACCAGCTGTGGAATCTGAGCTCCAGTGACAACGCAGTGGGACGTGAGCCGGGAAATGGTGCTCTCAAAGCAGCACGGAGGGAGATTGTGTTCAGTGCACACCACAGCGCCTGGCAAAGCATAGCTGTTTCCCAAATATTCAAGTTCTGAGGGACTTGAGTAGAGAGAACAAAGCCAGGAGAATAATCAAGGCTGTTGAAATGGTCAGTGGGTTGTGAGATACTGTTATCGAATGCAAGTCTGTGTGCCCAACACACAGTGAGGACAAACAATACCAAAATGTCGTAGTTTGGAGCAGAGAAAATTTTATTGCAGGTCCATGCAAGGAGATGGGTGACTCATGCCTTAAAAATCCAAAACTCCACGAAGGCTTTCAGCAAAGCCCTTTTATAGGAAAGGTGAGGGAGGGGCGTGGTTAGTTGTTGCAAACTTCTTGGTGTCAGATCCTTTGTCCTTGAGGTCAGGTCACGATGTTCCTGTAAACCTCCACCAAAACAAATGTTATTCTCTGTTCTGACGAGAAAGGGCAAGGTCCCAAGGCTCAACCTTCACCCTCCGAGGTCCAGGTCCTGGCTAAGAGGACGGGGTCCCTGCGGGGGCCGGCTACCCTGCCCGGGAGCATTCACCCAGCACCCAGGCTGGGTCCTCCCCCCAGTGCCCAGGCACGGCCGAAGAGGCAGATCTCAGCTGGTGGCACCCTCAGGGCCAGGTCCCCAGACCCTGCCCAGCCATCACCACTGAGGACGCCGGGCGCCCAGGACCCAGCCGGCCCTCAGGCTTTTCATTTACAATGGAGAGAATCATTTGTGTAGGATCATTTGTGATCCTACACAAAATCATTTGTGAAGGAGTACATGTTGTGGCGAATACCAATCAGGCGAATTCACAGCTCACAGTCGCCCTTCTTTGAGAACAGCCCACCACAGAGACGGACCTGAAGAAACGACGGCTGACGTCCTTGCAGCCTAACCCTGACCTCTGGCCGCCTCCTAGGGGTAGACAACCGGTCTCAGCGTATCAATTTTTGAAACTTGAACGGAAAGACTGAAGCTGGTTGAAGCTGTTACCTTAATGGCAATGTCCATATACTGGAAGTTGCTGAGGCCTCCATGGACTGCGACCCATGGAGACTGTCACCGCTATCAGGTCGCAGAGCTGGGTCCTGGGCCCGGCCAGTGGTCGGCCGTGGCGAGGGCTCTGGAGCTCTGCGGGACACAGCCCTCAGCCTGTCCCCGGGCTCCCCAGCTCACCCACCGGCCCCGAGGCCAAGGGCCCTGGAGGGCCCCAGGGAGAAGGCCGGGATTCGCCTCTCACCGCACTCTCTGCTGGGAGAGCCGGGCGAGGCTGACGGCTGGCGGAACCTGACCTCTAACTACTGCGCTAACGTCTCGCGATAACAGTCTCAGGCTAAGAGCCGCGCGCCTGCCCCGCCCCTACCAGAGGCCAGAGCGTGTGATGGCGAAGGGAAGAGAGAGGCAGGCACCTGTGCGGGACCCTGGGAGAACTGCCTGGGCGGGCAGTAGAGTCCACCTTAGAGGCTCTGTGCCTTCTTCCCTGTATGTTCTGGACACCCTGGTTTCCTGTTGACTGAAGAAGTGTGAGCAATGCCCTCAGCAGTTTCACTTCTAATCGTCATTGAATTTATACACTGACTCCTACTCAGAAATTCCCTGGAGGTCATGGGATTTTATTTCACTTTTGGTTCACTTATCTGACGTGAGGCTTCCCAGGAGTCCTCCTCTGCATAGCACATGATTGCAATTGCCAACTGCTCAATGGCCTGGAATTGCCCTCTGCCCCTCCCACCAGCCCTGAACCCTATTCGTCCCTCAAGACTAGTGCCAACGTCCCCTCCCTTCCTACACTCTCGCCATTTCCCTCCAGCTCTGTCAGTATCACCAGTCCCCACAGGACCCTAGACCCTCTGGGGCTACCTTGCCCAGCCCTCCTCTCCCCCTAGACTCCCTCTGGAGGCACCAGAGGGCTGGGTGGACTCTGACTTGTGGCCGTGGTCCCGGCACCTCACACGGGGCTACAGGTCTGGCGTTTAGGTGGTAACGGTTAGAGCTTTGCTAAACTCAGCTGCTACCCATTTCACCTTGGGTCAGATTAACACGTGGGATTTTAGAGACGTCTAGTTCTGCTTTGCAGTTTTCTTTGGCTTCTGTCCACTATTCAAGCCAGAACTCTTTGACTCATGTGTGACTGAGGAAGGAGGTCCTTTCTGTCTGGTGTCTCCAGGCTCAGGCCTGGTGCCCCCCATCTCCTGCCCCTGGACAGCTTGGCCTTCATGCCTGCTCCCCCATGAAGTGTCTGAGAGGAAAACACTGGCTTTCTCCTTCTCCTTTCTCCGATTTGGTTTCTTCTCTTTTCCCTGTTTCTTGCAGTTGTTACTGAGGACAAATCCGTGTGCCTGACGCACAGTGAGCCCAAACAATACCAAAACATCAGGAGTTTGGAACAGAGTTTTATGGCAAGACCCTGCGAGGAAACACGTGGCTCATGCGTTAAATACCCCGAACTCTCTGAAAGCTTTCAGCAAAGCCCTTTTACAGGAAAGGTGAGGGAGGGGCGTGGTTAGTTGTTGCAAACTTCTTGGTGTCAGATCCTTTGTCCTTGAGGTCAGGTCACAGTCAGGTCATGATGTTCCTGTAAACCTCCACCAAAACAAATGTTATTCTCTGTTCTGACGAGAAAGGGCAAGGTCCCAAGGCTCAACCTTCACCCTCCGAGGTCCAGGTCCTGGCTAAGAGGACGGGGTCCCTGCGGGGGCCGGCTACCCTGCCCGGGAGCATTCACCCAGCACCCAGGCTGGGTCCTCCCCCCAGTGCCCAGGCCCGGCCGAAGAGGCAGATCTCAGCTGGTGGCGCCCTCAAGGCCAGGTCCCCAGACCCTGCCCAGCCATCACTGAGGACGCCGGGCGCCCAGGACCCAACCCGTCCTCAGGCTCCTCAGGCTGCCCAAACAGCGGTAGGAGGCCAGGCCCCACAGACTGCAACCCATGCAGACTGCGGCTGTCATCAGGTCACAGAGGCGGGGATGGGGGAGAGGTTCACCGCCACGTTGAGGCCTGGGCCGGGCCAGTGGATGGCCGTGGTGAGGGCTCTGGAGCCCTGCAGGACACAGCCCCCAGCCTGTTCCCTGGGCCCCTCAGCTCACCTGCCCAAGGCCGGGTGAGCTGGAGGGCCCCGGGGAGAAGGCCGGATCCGCCTCTTACCTCACTCTCCTTTGGAGGACCACCACTCTGCCGACCGTTGGCCGAGCGGGGCCACTAACGGTGGCTCATTGACAGTTGCTCGTTGGGGGAGGGGCCCACTGCGGCGCCAAGCAGTGGCCGAGCGGGACTTGCAACTGCCGCTCTAACCGTCTGGCGTTAGTGGTCTCCCGGTAACCGTTGCCTGGTAACGGGTTACATGGTAACAGAGTGCTGCAACATCCGCGTGCTAAGGGCTGCGCCCTGCCCCACTCTGTCACATAGCCCGATTCCTCACTATTCACGGCTTCCCTTCTGTTTCTTTCCATTTCCCCCTTCCAATAACTTCTAAATGATTTTAACATCTGTTTTCTTTGTCACAAACATAAGCATATTTTTAAAAAACTCTCACGTTTATACTGTGTTGCTTTAACCTAGTAAGCCCCACTTTAATGCAACTAAATATATATATATTTGAGAAGGCCTTCATTTTGTGGGTGTGTGGGCATGTGATTCCACCTTCCAGCCTGGGATCCTCGGGCCAAGCTAAAGAAGCACCTCTGGCGGGTTCGCAGACATCAGAGCTGCCAAGGGATGGTTTAGCCCTGGAGACCCTGAGATCCAGAGAGGAGTCATGGAAACCCTACCCCTTTTCCCTACGTGGTCAGAGTTCATCATCCCCCTCCCTGCTTCCACTATGTCTGATGCATACTTCTTTGTTTGAAACGATCCCATTGAAATTATTTATTTAGAGCAGTGATTCTCAATCCTGGCTGCATATTAAAATAAACTGGGAAGTTTTTTAAAAAATACATATGCCATACATAAAACAAGACAGCCACAAGAGTTGATAGTTGTTGAAGCTGGATAATGGGTACATGGAGATTCATTATGCTATATTTCTAATTTTGTATGTGTTTGAAATGTCCCATAATAAAAAGTTTAAAACTAAATATATAATATATATTATATAAATATATAAAATAATATAAAACTGGGCCTATAGCAAACCAGTTAAAATTGAATTTCTGGGGCCCCTAGGCTTAGAATCTGTAGTTGTAAAAGCTTCCCAGGGATTCTGAGGGTTGAGAGGGGGACATGGGGACATGAAGAGGATTGAAGCGATTACAGTAGCTGCCTCTGGACTGTGAGCGCTTTTTTTTTTTTTTTTGGACTGTGAGCTTTTGATGAAATGTCAGATGACTGCCCCTAAAGTATTACTCCTGATTTGGATAAATGATCAAACATTCCAAGAATGGTGACTAAAGACAACTCATTTATCACACTGTCTAGCTGAAGTATTTTAAAGTAAATTATAAGACCACCAACATTGGCACATGATGGCTTACTTATGTGTGAGCTTCTGAAGAGAACAGTCCTTTCTGTCTTCTTTGTATTTTCATTCTCAGCATGTAGCACATGGCCACTTTGTCATTGCCAGTAAATGTTTGTTAAATTAAGTTTTCTTTAAAAAGGAGATGGGGGTGACACAAGTAGACATTGGGTTAGGATGCCCTATCAACATAATGTTAAGAATACGAAGCTCTGGAGCTGGACTGCCTGGGTTCGAATTTCAGCTCTGCCACTTAGCCTTGTGTCATTCACAGTCCAGTAACTTAACTGCTCTGCACCTCAGCTTGTAAAATGGCAATAAAAAAGAACCTATCTCATATGTTTGTTATGAGTTCTCTGTCTCTGTCTCTGTCTCTGTCTCTCTCTGTCTCTCGCTCTCTCTCTCTCTCTCTCTCTCTCTATATATATATATGTATATACTTAAAACCATGCCTGACACATAGTAAGCATTCAGTATGTTGCATTGTTAAGAAGACTGCCCTCAGAACGGTGCCTGGTACACAGTACATCACTGGCTTATAGTAAAGGTTTGCTGAATGAATGAATGAACATTCTGCTTTTGTGATTACTTGCCTCCAGTTTTACCCATTTCATTGTATTCTCCAGATAAGGAATATAGCAGAGGGTAACTTCTGAATGGAAGGTTAGGTTGAGAGTCAAAGGGAGTGATCTTGAGGTTGGAGTGGATTCAGTTTCAAGCCCAAACCAGGAGGGCTGAGTGAACACTGGGAGTTTTAAAGTTGAGAGTCCTGGTGACTGCAAGAAAGAACGGGCATTTTTAGTTGACTCAGTCTGACCCCAGTGCCATGAAGAGCGGTGCCCACAAATTGGGCTGGCCTTCCCAGGATCTAAACCTAGATTTCTTTCCACCTCTCTACCCTCCA